ACAGATATAACTGAGTGTTAGAACAAGGCAGGGGACATCTCTCTCCCAAAACCCCCATCCGACTGACTGAAAGGACCAGCTATATGAAATATACTGGACATACCAACTCCTTGTCCATGTAGGGTTAAAATCTGAGATCTATGCAAGAAGCAAGAACCATACTTCAGACAATCAATCTTATGTTTAGTAAGTACACCGTACACGACATTTTTAATCCAGATACATCCCAGGACATCAGCTGGTGCTGACAAAAGAAGCCAGTGGGATAAACTCGTATTCATGTTACAGAAAAAAAAAAAAAAAGCAAAACAAATCATTCATTAGTAGTTGCTCATACATGCCTTTGCCTGATCAGAGGAGTCATCTTCAGTGCCATTAGAGTCCGAACTGCTACTTCTGGGGATGGTCATAATTCTGTTGATGCTATTAGATCCTTTTTCGCCAAAAAGGGATGTCTTCTTTCTATATAAGCTGTGAGTTATAACTCTTCCTGATGAATTCAGTATAAAATGCAGCAATATCAGCTAAATGGCCGGTTTTATAAGCAAAAGATTTAATTTGTACGCAATCCTTTTCAATTAACATTGGGAAGTTTGTTGTAGAACACTCCTTGATATCATACTATATGAATATATATAGATCAGAAATGGAACACAGAAAATCTGAAATAATGTCACATCTGAAGGTAATAGTAATACTAATATGGGAATTATCAAAATGCCTGATACTGTGACCTATAGGCTATAGGAGGCTGGCATTTGCCAATCATAGACTACGTGAACAAAGATTGTTTTGCAGATGCCAGTTATGAGTTTAATTGATAGAGCATTTTGGATAGTTACTGAAGAAGGCCTTCAAGATATGATAATGACAATTTACAGTAAGGCATGGAACACAAAATTTCCATGGTTAAAGAGAGGGACAGTAAACAGAAGAAAAATAGGAGGAGCAGCAGTCTAAAGATAACATGTAAACAGACAATAGGGTAATCACACCCTTAAAAGGTACTAATAATGAGCAAAAGATATTCAAATAATTCAGTCCTATAACCAAGCTGAAGTTAGATTACATACGACTCTTGTCCGCTGAATGAATGCCAGACCCATATATCATGCATGACCATCTCAACAGGACAGGCATACAATCTACAATAACCATGGATGACCATTTCAATTGATTCTCGAGTTTTTTTTTTCAACACAAGCTGGATGGTAAGAATGCATATCATTCTCTCTACAATTCCAAAATATTTCTTCTTAGAATGCGCAACCTTTTTACACTTACTTATAACTTAAACTCTCAGCCGTCTCCAAACACTTCATAGTATTTTGAACAATATACAGCATGCCATAAACAACTAGTATCAATCAAATGAAAAGCAAAACTGCCAACATTCTATTAGACTAACCAATACAAGCCAAGGGAAATTTTGGACAATAATAATCAGTGAAGTTTACAAAAATGTCAAATGCAACAGCTCTATATTAGTACAAATTTGACCAGAAATTAAAAGGGAAAATCTTTTGGAGTAAACCCAGATAGCTGAAGCTAAAATAACTCAAGACAGGCAAGCACCAACTGACCTCTCACCAAACCATCAAAAGCTCTGGCCCTCAATTGAATAGATGGAAGAGCCGAAATACCCACGAAGGAAATCGGTCCTCTTTCACATACTAAACTACAACTTGTAGGGTTTCCATGTGGAAGAGATGCCATCCCTGCAATGTTGTTCGCATGAGCACACAAAATAAAACAAACCCAAATAAATCCAAGAAAAGGGGAAAAAGATGATTAATTTGAGCATTAAACGCATGAGGCTAAATAAAATTAAATTGCTTTATCTCTTAAATGAGGCGCCTTTACTTATTTTCTCTCTCTTTTTCTGGTCTTTGCTTACTCAGAATGGTTGTGGGCTAGCGGCAAAAGAAAGCACAAATCTAATAAAAGAACTTATCTTTTAAAAGAAGAAGAAAATGAAGAATGAATAAGGAGAGAGTACCAACCTGGTAGAGAGAGGGCACCAGCAGCAGGTAACTCACTGATTACCGTTAATGGATTGCAGATGACTGGTATACAGCCCTTCCCTCCATCCTTTAGTCTGATTCAGCAATTTTGTCTTGCGGGGTCCCACCTTTTAAAAGATCAGGGAATTGTGCCATGTCAATCAAAGATATTTATTTCTCTATTTTCCTCCTCTTTTTTGGTTTTTTTTTCTCTCACTTTTGATGTTTCTCTGTTCTCCATTTGGTGCTGAGTAACTTTCACCTCCCTCTGGCATGATATTTGAGACAGCTTGAATTTTCCTTCCATAATTTTATGACCTTAACATGTCAAATGTTTGGTAAGATAAGAGTACTCCTTAAATCAATAATTATGTAACAAAATTTAAATCAGGATATGCTTCATCATCATTTGGTTGTAAAATAACCCATCAAAAGATTTAGTTCAATTTCTTTTTGGAGTCATACTCATATCAAGGATCAAGCTGCTATTAGTTTGACCAATTTACAAAACTGGCTAACATTTCCCAACTAATTAATCATTCAGTTCAGATTATTAGATAATAGCTCCAAATCATTAGTAACATGTCTTGCGGAATATTATGCATGCTAGCATTGGAAAGTGATTGCATAACTAGCAAGGATTTGACATTGGGACACTTCTGCATAGATATTCGTCCCACATCTTGCAAAAATAGGTACACAGATATATGCAATTGTTTATCTACTCTCTCTCTCTCTCTCTCTACCTACATATATACAAATATGTTTGTATATAGTTAGTAGGTGACTGTGTTCGAGGAATAATATCAGAGAAATTGTTGGTTACCATGTCCAATCATTCGTTTGGTGGTGTCCTCAAGTGTGCATTGCCCAACCGTTGCTCCATACTTCACCCCATGTGCCCTCCTCACTGACAAATTGATGAAAATCCTGTACAAATCCTGCACAATTAAAATACATGATTGCTAGACGGAGATGTTAGGGTGACTGCTCTGTGCGTTGGATTTCCATGATTCCACCCCATTAATTAAAGTGGGGATTGATTTACAGGATTGCCTAATTGGAAAAACTCAGGTCCCAGCTTACATAACAGCATAAAAATGGTTTAAAGCAAACATAAAATGGTTTTAAAGTTGACAGAGGAGGTGTGGAATTTACATGCTTTCAATGTCACAGAGTGACATGTATCCTCTCTTCCGTAGATAGCCGACAAATCCATCCTTCTTTTCTTCCTCTCTGTCAATCAACTACTCTCATGCATGCACAAATTTCATTTTATTTATTATATATACTCAAATAGGCTCTGCCAAATTGCCAACAGCCCACCATCTACACCATCCATTTCTCTCTCTCTCTCTCTCTCTCTCTCTCTCTCTCTCATCAGCAACTACTCTCCCCACCCGAAGAAGAAGAAGAAGAAGAAGTTCTTCTGTCTTTCAAATTTGTTGTTTTTTCTCATGGGGAACGCAGCAGCTTCTTGTGCTCCTTCATTGGTCATCTCAAGCAGTGGAGTTGTAAAGGTTATGTTTTTGGATGGAAGATTGGAAGTGTACACAAGGGCAGTGAAAGCAGCAGAGCTGATGTTAGAGAATCCAGGGCAGTTTGTGTGTGAATCTAGCAGCCTCGAAGTGGGCAACAGGGTTCATGGCCTTACAGCTGATGAAGAGCTCGAAAGGCGCCAATTCTATTTTCTTCTTCCCATGGACCTGCTTTACTCTGTGCTCACACATGAAGAGCTCAGCTCTCTGACTTACAAGGCTTCAAAGGCACTCAAGCACAGAAGTTTCAACAGTTTCAGTAAGATATTTCCGGTCCTCGGAGAGTTTTGCATGTTTCCTTCAGAAGCCAAGAGATTGGATAAAAATATTGGTGATGTTATTAGTCCTTCAAGCCATTCAGAGCCAATGCTAGTATTAGTGGAGAGGTACTCAAAGCAAAGATCATGGAAGCCTGCATTGGAGACCATTGTTGAAACTCCATCTACACATTAATTAATTTCTCTTTCCAATTTTAATGAAATTTTGCTGTTATTTAATTTGTATTTGATTCAATATTTAGAAGTAATTAATTAAATATTCATGACCTGGCCTTAAATTGGATCAACAAATCAACTCAACTGAGTCAACATGTACAAAGATTATTAGCTGTTTCTTCTATGAAAAAAGATGCTAATTAATAGTTGGCTTCTTTGTCTTCCTCCCTACATTTCTTCTTTAAGATGGAAAGTGATGGAACCCCTTACCCTCCCTCCTCCAGTCTCTACGCCCAAGGCTAATCAAGCAGCAAACCAACCAACCAACAGAAAAATAAAGGTTTAGTTTCGTTCAAGATTCCATGATGGTGACATTCATATGAATAATGTTCACTTGCACGATATTATTTGCCGAAACTTGCAAAACTTATCTTATTTTTCTATTGCCTATTGGTAACCATCCCTCCGTATTTTTTTCTGAAAATCTTCAATGACTTGGTAAATAACGAAGGAAGATGATTTTCTCACTCCTTTTTTGTCTACTTACACTCGCATTGAATATAAAAGTGGAAAAATCAGCACCCAGAACTGAATATAGAAATATATCTTTACAGTTACAACTCTATACATTACGTATTTGTTTTTGTCATGACCCTTCCTTCACTCAATGAACAATCAAATCAATCCCTCCTTTTCATGACTTGGGGTTTTACCTTAGCCCACCTTCAATTGATAGAGGAGGAGATGTTGAGTCCCACAAGCCAACCTAATCAAATAAATTATTTGCTTTTTATAGCCTAAGGTGTGTTTGATTATGTGACTTTCTGCAAAGTAAACCAACCACAACTTTTTTTTTTTCTCCGAAGATTTGTTTTAAAATATTGTTTTCGGAAAGCGACTTGGCTCCTTTAATGTGACATGGATGGATGGATGGATAATATTAGGATAACAGGGATTATAAAAAAAAAAAAGAAAAAGCAAACGCCAATGGCCAAAATTCTACTTTCTATTTTTTTTTTTCTTTCCACCACTTCCTCATAACAAATAAATACACTAAAATGTTTATGTCATTAAAAAGTGAAAAAAGAAGAAAAAAAAGGACAAAAAAGATCAAACGAAAAAGAGAAAGAGAAAATAAGAGCGAAGAATTCATGCTACACCGCCACTACAGATGGCAGTGATCGAAACCGGGAATCTAGAGAGAACCCCAGCCGTGGATGAAGTGGCAATCCGATCATCAACATTGGACGGTGGAAGCACCCTCCCATCGGCAAACAGTAGCCGTCCATTTCTGGGCTGCCCCACCATGACCCCTTCAAGCTCCGCAGCCGTGTTATAAAACGCATTGTCTCCGAATCTCCTCTCCACCTCAAGAAACTCGCCGAGCGAAGCCGGCTTCGTGCAGTCGTCTCGGCAGAGGCGCCACCACCTACGCCGCCGTTCCGCCACCACACCCACGGCTGACGAAGCAGCGGCGTTTTTCTTCTTGGGCTTCTTGGTCTTCCTGGAGCCGCTTCCGCTAGTACTAGCCATGTTGTTGTTGTTGTTGTTGTTGTTGCTGTTGGCTTGGGGGTCTCGGCGGTGTTGGCTCGGGGCTCTGAACGTGATGGCTGGAAAGCTCACTCCCATTAGGGTTCCTAAGGTCGTGCTTCGATCGTGAAAGAATGAGCCTGTAGACTGTCACCAAATATTCAACAATATATAAAAAAGAAGACAAAATTAGTGAGGGATAAATTCAGAGAAAATCTGAATGAAATGAAAAATGGGGAAATGGGTACCTCGGTGTCGAGATCGGAAGAAGAAATGGAGGAGTTGGTGGGGGATGAGGGTGGAGGTAGCAGATCATTTCTTGGATCTAGCATTTTTCCTCTTTCTGTTTCTGTCTCTGTGTGTTGGTTTGGATTTTTGGAGAGGTCTCTTTTTGATCTTCTTCTGGTTGTATTTTCTGTGCGTTTGAAATTTGAAGGTTTATGTGCAATTTAAAGCTTGGAGTGATGAGAGTATGAGACCCATGAGAGATGGTGATAGATGGGATTTAATTTAACTGAAGTTGGATTGTGTTTCAAATCATTAATGTTGGGCTTTGGTGCTTTGTCCTTTTCATAATTTCATCTTCAATTGTAGTCTAAACATTTCTCTTTCCTTCCTGGGACATAGGCTTTATAGAATTGGTTAATATCAAATAAGTCCCTCAGGTTTCTATATTATCACTAGTCACCCTGTTTGCCCCTTCAAATTTCAAAGTTACTCTTCTTTACATTTATCCATTTCAGGCTTGGTGCTCATTTCATCCTATGATATTTTTATTATTGGAATTCTTTGCTTTTAAAAGACTTATTATGAACGAGTTTACAATGATTATATAACTCAAGTGACTAAAAGCGTTAATCACTGCAATCAATTGAGGTCTTGTGTTCGATTTTCTCCTCTGGGATGTAATTGATCAAGGGGAGAGACTTTGAAAGCTCCATTGCAGGCGGGTTTTGTCCCAAATTGGAAAAGCTGCCGACACCGGTGACCACAAGAGTCATGGTTCTCCTCATGGATATGGGACCATATGGTGTTTTATTACTACTTTAGTCTCAAAGGAAAAAAATCAATTAAAGAGCTTTTGTGAATTGTGATTGCGTGGTGGTGAAATGGTTTCGTTTCAAGCCAAATAAAAATTGTGTGATGATGATAATGGTATTGAACTGTGACTCTTCCTGTCCTCCATATTGAGTTGAGGCCAAACAATTCATGTGAAAAAGTTCCATGCACAAGTGGCACTCATTGGCATCACATGAAAAGTCCTAACAGATTATCATTCTCTAATGCTGTTGCCTTGCTACAAATGATCATGGGATGGGAGAATCAAGACTAGTGTTGTAATCAACCTTTAATTAAAGACTAATTATCCCACTCATCAATATTAATGAATGGTTCTTGTGAATAAGTGTGTGTGTGTGTGTGTGTGTGAGATAGATTCTCTGATATTTCATCATGTTAAACAGAGTTTAAGCCTTAATGATGTAATATGGATGCATACAAATAACCAGAATAAGAAAAGGAGGAGGAGAAGAAGAACACAATATGCCTCGACCAGTGATGAACTCGCTGGCTCTGGCCCCTCACAGGCGTGCATGATCTGATCAATGATGGTCATAATTTGTTCCCCGACAATAGCCACCTGCACTGCAGCATTATGCTTTCTTTCCATGGATCCTTTTTAGTCATGGAATATATGTACGGAACCTGGAAATGCCACATTAATCAATTCAATCAACTACTGTAGATCGACCAATTTAGTAATTGATTCTCTGTCACATTGTATTCCCTACCACACATGCAAGGCAAGCTATCTTCAAAGTTGCCTCCATCATTCTTTTGTAGTTCGGCTGTTTAGGAGTAAGGTGGAAAAGACAGCAACAGCAACCCCTCCAAATGGGTTGCTTTTCGTGAGAAAAAAAAAAAATATATGTTATCTACCAATATATTTCTTTTTCTATAAACAAAACCTCCAATGTACACCAACAAAACCAAAATCTTTGGTCCGGTTGTTGAACCAGGAAAAAATGCCAACCCTAGCTTCAAACTATTGACCACAGTCAATTGATTTACATGGGAGATAAATCATGGATATAGTCATCCCACATTTCAGTCGCAATTGAGTCCCGCAACTGCGAAGTAAACTCCAGTTCTTCAGTCTCAAAAGCAATGTCCATAGCAGAGGCCTCAAAATGCATCATTGGTTCCACCTCTAGTGGGGGCAATGATTCCTCCATTTGCAGTATGGTGTCCTTCTCATACATTTTAAAAATCCAGTCATCTGGTTTCTCCCTACGCATGTAATTGTGTAGGGCACATGCTGCCACAACCAACTTGACTTGTGTTTGTAAGGGGTATGGAGGAGCTGCCATCAGTATAGGGAAGCGTGCCTTTAAAGCCCCAAAAGTGCGATCAGATGCATTTCGTAACATCGAGTGACGTTGATTAAATAGCTCTTTCGCATCTTGAGGGTGATAACCACTAGGAAACTCCTTCAAGTGATAAGGTACACCAGGATATGGAGCAATGAAGCCAGGCATATTTGCATACTTGTTGTCCACCAGGTAGTATCTCCCTGCATAGTTACAAATTTTGTACCCAACACTGCTAGTAAGATTCCACAGTTAGTTACTTTGATAGAATAAGATTGTTTCCATTTTTTGAAACAAGTTGACCCCCATGTGTTGCATACATGGGATCCAGCATTTACTTCTAGAACTCATTGTGTAACAAGTAAACTATAATCTGGAAAGCTATATAGTCTGCAACCACATCCACCCCCATTATCATGTGAGCTAGCCAAGAGAGAGCTGCTCTCTGTGTTTCAGAAAGTAAACCACAAATTGCTTCTTATGCTCTTTGGAAAAATCATATTTGAAAGGAATATTGGGCAAAGATGTCCACCAAAATGTTATAAATCTGTTAGAGAGTTCATATTGTGGCTTGATTGCAATTTCATAGTGTGAAACAACTTTTTCCAAAAGAAAATCACACATTCAAGATATTTAGTGAATGAAATGAATTGCGATTTATTATTACGCAAGCATAGTTATGTCCAAATTGACATCACACTCGCACCAGTATGCTACTTATGTTAACGGAATGGTACGCACAAAAGAATCAATACCTTCTGGGGTCTGCAATTTGTTTCGTCTTGTGAGTGCAGAATTTAAAACTTGCAAATCTGATGCAGAGCCTTCCCAACCAGCCAAGACATAATGGAACTTGAGATCAAATGAGCAAGCAGCCAGAACATTTTGTGAAAGTAAGCCATTCTTGTTGCGGAAAGGTCCTTGCTCATCTACGCCTACCATCACTGGGATGTGTATACCATCAACTGCTCCCACACAATCCTATAGGATAAAAATTTTGAAACTGAGAATCACATAGAAAGGAGATACAAATCAGACTTAGTCACCATGAGATTACCTTAAAATATGGATAGAATCTAGGATCTTCTGAAATTTCGGGAGGAACATCAGATCCTGGAGGCTGGAAGAAATCTAATGAAATTGCCCTTATTGCGTTCAACACATTGTTGAAATGACGACTGATGGTTTCTCCTGAATAACGGAATAACTCTTGAACAGCTCGAGTCCGTAGATTATGACCAATGATGAACATGAACATGGCTAATTGCTCTTCAATCTTGATTCGATTTGTGTGGCGCAGTAAGCCTTTTCCTTGCAAAATATCACACAACTTGTAGAAGACATGCTTATCCATGCGAAAATTTTCTAGACAACGTTCATTTTGACCACTTAGGACTTCATCTATAAACTTCGCACCAGTAGATGCTAAAGCATGAGTGAGTTCCTTTGGTATATAATTCCCGGAAACTGCATCCTTCTCATCATCTGTGCTCTCCATTACAAAACTAAACTTCACAGAGCAATATATGCATTGAATATCAGCAAGCATATGGCGGATTCAAATTTACAGAAATGATAGAGCAAAAGGAACAGATTCAATATTTGGAAGAGAACACAACAATGGGCAATTATTGGTTGATAACAACCCTTACCCAACTACATTATATCAAAAGAAATACATGATTTCTAAATGAAAAATTCATATATGAACAAGAAAGAGTGTCAACTGTCAAACCCCGTAATTCAAAGGAAACCTGTTTCCTCATAAGCATTCTGCAGTATTGATACTTTTGGTGAATCACCTAAAAATTGGAAAATCTATCAATCCAGCAGGAAAACCAAGTAAACCTTCATTTTAACGAATGGGGAATCACCTGAATCAATATTTTTAAACACTTGCCCAACTTTTAAGGTAATTTACTTTGTTACCTTCGCAATGATCGTATAGCTCCACCTTAGGTAATTAGATCCCTCATGTCTAAGTAAAAATTGACAATCAGAAGGTAAAACCACACTACCATTTAGCTTGTTTAGCAATAATAGCATTCATACATATATGCCCACACACATGCACGCATCCACCAGATACTTACTTAAATGCATATGCAAGTACCTACATAATAGCACACACATGCATCCACGCACAGAGAATAAGCTGCTAAGAGATGATACTACACGAAAAGTATACTTCATTCAAGTTACTACTTGAGAATCCACAGCCCGAGAAAATCAGCCTCCAAGAAAGAGGGGAGGCTAAAGTATAAGTAATAGCCAAACCAAGACCACACCAACTAGACAAATTTCACAAAAATGACATAATAAAAAGTTCTAAACTAATAACCGTAATAACAAAAAATACATGCAGCAAACTGCCAAAATTGCCCGAAAATTTTATCAAACTTGCAGATACAGAAACCCCAAATAAGGGGGTGAGTCATATTTCTAGTAGCTAAGTCCATAATCTTTGTTTTTTTTCTTATTATTATTAGTATTATTTTTTAAGTCTAATTGAGTATTCTTCTTCCATTCAATTATATACCTATACATGCAGACAGACCTCCACAGCTAAAGCATCAAATTCAAATGGACATGAGTAGGAATTGATGAATTCTTTAACTCTCGAATTACAAATGGAATGAAATTAACCGAATGCAAATTCAAACTCAAAGTTTGCAGTTCAAGTTCAATGACCGAAATCATAAACGTCATTAAATAAAATGCAAATGAAATGAGCATATCGAAATTGAGCCCATACCTGAAGAGAATAGAGCTCCACTAGCTTAGGAGGCAAACGACGCCGATGGTTTGGGCAAAACGAGAGAAGTGTGTAATAAAACAGAATTGCTGGGCTTTTGGATTTGGGGGAGTGGCCTGAGCCACTGAGAAACGTAACGTTCGTTCTCTGTGTGAGTGTTTTTGTACTTTGCAGTCTTTTCTCTTCCCTTTTTTTTCTTTTCCACTAAATTTGTACTTGGCAGGTCATAAGTATGCAAGCTCTCCAGACGGACTCTGGAGGAGGAGGTTTCTCAAACTCACACGGTGACGGCGGGCTAAGACCCAATTTTCTTACAAGTATGCAGAAAGCAGCTTCCAAAAGGCCAAATTTTTCGGCCCAAAAAAGGCCCAATTTTCTTATCGGTATAGCCGGGCGGCTATACTTTTTTAAAAAATAAAAAAACCTCGCGTAGCCGAGCGGCTATACTTGGTTTCATTAATGTTGCTACAAATGGTATAGCCGGGCGGCTATACTTATTTTGACACGTGGGCGCCTAATTCTGGGAGGTCCTTTTTATAAAAAAAAAAAACGTATAGCCGCGCGGCTATACCCCTTTCTTCCTTTTTAATAGTATAGCCGCGCGGCTGTATTCCTTTTCCCCTAATTTGTTTTAAAAAATAGTATAGTTACTCTTTTTGAAACGTGGCGCCTAGACGCCTGGCGGGTCTTTTTTTTAATATATACTAGTCTCTTCGCACGCGCTTCCGCGCCTGCGAGAGGCATTTTTTAAAAATTTTAAAATTTATTTTAGAATTAAAAAAGATAATGGGTAGTTGTATTTCATAAAAAGAGGATCCATTATCTAATTTTTCTTTTAATTTTTAAATTTTTTAATATGAAAAAGTGTGAATTTACCATATTATCCTCATTTAATTAATAATTTCAATTCTTAATGTTTGCATTAATTAAGGGTATTTTCTAGTATTTTGAATGTTTCACCTTTCTCTGCCTTTTACTTTATATTAGCCTCTTTGCACGCACTTCCGTGCTTGCGAGAGGCTTTTTTTTTTTAAGTTTAAATTTATTTTAGAATTAAAAAAGATAATGGATAGTTATGTTCCATAAAAATAGGATTCATTATCTGATTTTTCTTTTAATTTTAATTTTAAAAAATATGAAAAACGTGTGAATTTACCATATTATCCTCATTTAATTAATAATTTCAATTCTTAATGTTTGCATTAACTAAGGGCATTTTCTGGTATTTTGAATGTTTCACCATTCTCTGCCTTTTGCTTTATATATATAGATATATAGATTAAATAGTACAGCCGACCGGCTATACCTGGGCTCTTTATTTTTTTAAAAAAATAGTATCGCCGACCGGCTATACCCAGTTTTTATTTTTTTTTATTTATAAATAGTATAGCCGCCCGGCTATACCTATTTTACGCGCTTTTTTAATAAATAGAATAGCCGCCCGGCTACACTCGATTATTCGTATAAAAAATTTCAGAATAGTATAGCCGTTCGGCCTTACCATTTTTTATAATTTTTTTAATAAATAGTATAGCCGGGCGGCTATACTCTTTATATATATACATCCTTTTTTTCTTTAAAAAAATTTTCCCCAGTTTTCGTTTATTGATATGAGTAGTTTAGAGCATTATTTATTACTATTAGGCCATTACCCGACCCTCTCTTGTCCACTTTTGATTTTTTACTTTTCTAGAGTTATTACTCATATAAAGAATTTAGCAATTTCACATTTAATAATGTATTATACAAGGATCTACATATTTTTAATAATACATCTATGTTCAACACACGTCTTAAAGACTCAGTAAAGTTCACGTTTTTTTAAAAAGCAAACGTACAATACTCATATTATACAAGTATGTATGTATTTTTCATGTTTAATACATGTATTTTTTACAAAAATTTCAATAAGACACACAAAATTCACATATTATTATTAAAAATAATTTATATTAAAACATAATATAGTGGCGCACATTTAAGTTGTAATTTACCGAATAAAACACATACGTATTTTATTAGTATATTTTCATGTTCTATATTTTACTAACTAGGAATGAATGTACAACTGCGCAGCTATACTCAATATTTTCACCTATACTCGGTTTCTTTTATTTATATTTATTTATTTATCCTAAATATTTTTTTTTAAAATAGTATAGCCGCTTCTAAAAAAGTAAAAATTAAAAGAAAGTCGACTGATGCCTCTCCAGAGAAACGAAATTTCCTAAATTGTCCTTATGCAACTATGAAGCTTTCCAGCGCTTTCCTCATGTTGTTTGTTTTATGCATTCCTTTTGTTTTTCGTATGGGAAGCTTCATAGTTTGTTTTTTTTCTTTCAAGTTGATAAAAGTTTTCCACATTTTCCTCCAAATTCTATGTAGTCACGGGTTGCGTAGCCACATACTAGCCTTGAGTGGTCATGCCCCCGAACCTACACGTGGCTCTTTGTACATTTAAGAACATTTGTTGTGTTTTATAAAAAAAAATTGGAAAAAAAGTTATGTAACGGCCTCCAAACTAAGTTATCACATTTGGCTCCTCCATAAAACTTTTTCGAACTCTCCCTTTCGGGAAAAACTCTCATATAAGGGGTTAATGCTTTTTGCTATCCTCAGTCAATAATGTAATAACACGAAACATATCATGTAAGTAATGCATCGAGCCAACGTGGTGTATAATGATTGAACCTAAATGACAAGTGTCATAATTCCACGTGGATATCTCTTTCGTTGGCGGGCTTTTCGCGCCACCCTCCTCCAAGGTCCGAATGGTAATTCTGCACTATCTACTGCCAAAATATTATCAAACTTATCAATCAAGCGGCTATGTCCTTTTAAAATTCAGTATAAACTAAATATATAATAAAACTGAATATTATTAAAAAAGAATAAAAAAGAAAAAGAAAGAAAACAAGACTGACGTGACGGAAAGAGGGTGAAGTTCTACCCCCGCACGCTATTTGGCGCGCGCAGGGAATCTTTGCCACGATGGAAACGTGGATGCCTTAGGATAGGAATAGGACAGAAGCAGGTCTCTTTGCAAGTCTACGTCATGTCGTATATATTTCGTTTCGTTTCAGTGGCTACTGCCACCAACCAAGCTCTGCAATTGACCGGTTGAGTTACTGTCCGTAGCAAAAATTAAGCAAAGCAGAAGAAAACAGAGTAAAAGGGGTCTGGCACTGGCAGCAATGGGGTTCCATGGCGTTCTTGGGTTCGTGGGCTTGGATGACTTGAGCTTGGACTTGGCTTCTTCTCTTATCCGCAGTGGCTACAAAGTCCAAGCTTTCGAGGTTTCCGTCCTTGTTTCCTTTTCTTTGCTCAATTTGTGATTTGAATTATGCTTTTCGGTTTTGTTGGATTTGGATTTATTGGAAATGGGAAAAGTGATCTGAGATTCTTACTCAAGAGACTCTTGCAATTTCCTTTCCTGAGATTTATTAAGTGTTGCATATTTCAGTACGTTAATTTATAATGCAATTGTTTCACCTGCAGACGTATGAGCCTTTGATAAATGAGTTTCTAAAACTAGGGGGGATTAGATGTGGCAGCCCAAAGGAGGCAGGGAAAGGTAGATCAACATCTGACTCCTGTTTGATCAGAATTCTATATTCCTTAGCCAAATGTGTCTGGTCTGGTCATCACATTAAATGCATGCATATATATATATATAACACGTACATTCTCTCTCAAAAACTCATCGACACTCCTCATTGTTCACCTACTCATTCATTGATTTGAGTTGATATACATATGAATGTAATTATGGGATTTTAAAAGGGCTTTTAATTAGTTGAAATACAGTAAATTGGTTGAAATATATATACACACACACACACAGAGCTTCCATTGAGGGATCCCTCAAATACTTATTTGAGGGACACCCTTGTAGGGCCCACTCTGTATTGTATTTCACTAATACAAACCATCTATTTTGTAGATACTCATTCAAAGATCATCTCTACAAAAAATCACTTGAATCCGATATAATTTGACCACTCAATTGAATTATTGAAATTTTAGGACACACAATTGGATATCAAAACAGTTTCCGATTTATCTAATTTTTTGCAAAGATGATCTATGAATGCAGACTTAGAAAATAGATGGTTTCGATCGTTGAAAAAATATTTGTAGGGGATCCTAAAGGGTGTCCCTCAATAGAAGGGGACTGTATATATATATATACAGTCCTGATCTCTTGGACCACAGGAGTCCAAGAAATTGTGGTCACCTACCGTTGGATATTAATTCAATGGTTCAAAAAAGTTTCTTAAAAGGAGTGCAAGAGTGAGTGAACCATTGAATTTACATCCAACGGTGAGTGACCACAAATCTCTTGGACCACAGGAGTCCAAGAAATTGTGGTCACCTACCGTTGGATATTAATCCAATGGTTCAAAAAAGTTTCTTAAAAGGAGTGCAAGAGTGAGTGAACCATTGAATTTACATCCAACGGTGAGTGACCACAAATCTCTTGGACCCCTGTGGTCCAAGAGATCAGGACTATATATATATCAGTCCTGATCTCTTGGACCACAGGAGTCTAAGAAATTGTGGTCACCTACCGTTGGATATTAATCTGAGTCCAGGACTATATATCTGGTCACCTAGGAGTCCAGGACTATATATGTAAATGTATTTGAGTGGACCAACAACTTTAAACATCATCAAACTGACATTTCTTTTTCTCTTTGTTGGTCTGACTCAAATTCTCATATCTATTTCAGATTGTAAAGTGACGATTTAGATATAAAGTCAGATCAAAATTTAAATCTCTGTATATTTAATTTACTCTTGGAGTCATTTTAATTAATTCTAAACCATATGACCTTTGTTGCCTCTACTATTCATTGAAATTGTGCCGTTTCTGGTTCAATATGATCATTTCTTATGATGGACTCTCTGATCTTACTTTAAAAAGCTCTTCTTTCTTATTTTTTTCTTCACTGGCTTGCAGATGTTGCAGCTTTGATTGTGTTAATATCTCAAGAAGATCAAGTTAATGATGTAACTTTTGGTAATGAGGGTGCATGGAAAAGTCCTTCCGAAGCTTTTTGACATTATATCCCATATGCCATATTTCTTTATAGTTACTTTGAACATATACTGATTACGTATCTGTGTGGGAATGTAGGATTGCAGAAGGATACTGTTGTCATGTTTCGCTCAACAATATTACCATCATATACTCAGAATCTGGAGACGTATTTCACAGGCAATTGAAACCCTAATATTGTTGGCACTATGTGATGATGAGTTGTCTATAAATGTGTTTCTGTCTTGTAATATTTGTTCCCTGATTTATTGCCTAGAATACATCTTTTTAGTAATGGATATATCTTGGAATACTTGTAATCTTCTTCCGGATCAATATCATTTTTTTGAGATTTGAGTTAACACTAACGTTTTTATTTTTCTAGCAGATGATAGTGAGACAGCTTATCTTGTAGATGTGTATGCCACAAAAGGAGTATCTGATGGTTTAAATGGAAAAATCATGGTAAGATTACTTGCTCATCATTAACCCATTCTTGCTTGTAGTGGTGGATGCAAAGGTTCTCCCCTCCCTCTGCCCTCCCAATCATCTAACCTATTTTGGGTTGAGTGCTGATGTTTTTATAACTCCTTAGATTGCTTCCTCAGGAAGTTCAGATGCCATTTTAAAGGCACGACCAGTTCTCTCTGGTAATATTGATTCAAATAAACTAAAATACTGATATTGGAAGATACTTTTAATAAGCCTTTCTTTCTAATGTCTTTATCATCTCTCCCTCAAATTTTCTCTTGCTTACAGCAATGTGTGAAAAGCTTTATGTTTTTGAGGGCGACGTTGGTGCTGGAAGGTGTGCATTCTTCTTCACCTTGTGACCTTTTTACATAATTAAGACTAGAAATAAACTGCATTTTGTTGAGGTGTATACATGCAAGTTTATATATGTATGTTTTCTTTTCTCCATATAAAAGTGAAGGTACATGTTGCTTTTTGAAGGAAATAATTACTCAACTAATATGTGACATTTCTTGGTTGTGCAAATGTATATATTTATTTGTTCCCCCTCCCCCAATATCGTTTGTATAAAAAAAAATTATTTGTATCATGATCTTCTAATTTTCATCTAACTGCAGAAAAATTAGGATGGTTAAGGAACTGCTTGAGGGTATTCATCTTGTTGCTTCTTTGGAGGCTATTTCTCTTGGCACTAAAGCTGGTATTCATCCGTGGATAATCTATGATATCATATCTAATGCTGCGGGAAACTCATGGTGCGTGCTTATGCAGAAAACTTATTTCTATATTTCCTCAAAGATTAAAAGAAGAAAACACTGTATCGGACTTAAGTCTTAAAACTTACTATAACAGTAGGAAATACAATACATCAAAAACATAAACAGTCTAGGATCCATGTGCTGGAACAATTTTAAAACATGAAGTCTTAAAATTTACTAGAACAGTAGGAAATACGGTACATAAAAAACATAAACAGTCTCGGATCTTTGTGCTGCTGGAACTATTTTTGGACATCCGCTACTGAGATACTCATATTATGTTTAGTGTATTTTTTATCACTTCATATTGTGCCACCATTTTAAATCTTTACTGATTGCAGGGTTTTTAAGAACCATATTCCTCAGTTGTTAAAGGGTGCTGCCAAAGATGATTTCAATACTCTTGTTCAAAAGTTGGTAAGATATACTGCAACCATTTGTGTTTCAAGCTTTGTATCACTCAGTTCCATTTTAAGTACACTTTTCTGCTTTATATTTGGATTGAATTCAATCAGTGGTGTTGGTTGTTTTCTTTCTAAAGCAACATCTCATATTCTTCCATAACAATCACAATTTTCTTTCTTGTATCAAATTTTATAATGACAGTCTATCAGCTTGCAACCATCTGTCAAATGATTTGCCTCATGATGATGCATAAGTCTGATAGCATGCATAAAAAAATATGGATAAGTCTGTGCTTTCATGCATAATGAAATTTAACTCTTTGGTATTGTTTTAGCATGAATACCAAAGCAATGGTCTATTTGTGCTTAGCAGCGGTCAATGACATTTAAATCAAGCTTACTTGGTAATTATTCTATGTAGAAGCCGTTTACTGAAGGAATTATCATCATGTACACAGAATGGAAACACAAATAGAAATAGGAATAGGAAGCTTGAAATAGAAATAAAAACAATTCTGACTAAGCAGTAATCTCAAAACTTTTATTGGTGCTAGAGAAGTTTATATATTAAATTTTGTATCAGGCTAATTTTGGAATTTGAATTATTAAAGTTTCATTTTAGTCTTTGTCTTGGTGCCTTTCATTTTGTATTTCATTACTTAACATTCATGCAACTTTTTGTATTCAAGAGGATTATATTGGATCTGGCCAAATCACTTACTTTTCCTCTCCCACTTTTAGCAGTTGCTCATCAACAACTTCTGCTTGGTACGGAATCTTAAAACACAATCGGGTCACTTGTTATTGCTCTATGTTTGGAAATGATCAGCTTTGTGCTTAATACTTTCTCATACATTGCCTTTTTCAGGGTCTTCACATTATAACACAGATGATGAAGATGCTGAGTTGATTAAGGTTGTTTTATAACTGAGCTAAAAAATATCTGATTAAGAGGTTTTTGTGGCTTTATTTCCTCCCATGTTACATCAAAATTGTTTTGAAATATGTGTTCATATTTAACATAAGCTTATTCTTTCTTATGTGTGTATACTATACAACTTTTGTACAGGTTTGGGAAAAGAAACTTGGAGTGAGAATTTCAGATGCAGCAAATGCTGAGACTTACATCCCTGAGCAATTGGCCAGCCACATTGTTGCCAAATCATATACCATCAACCGAGTTGGCTTCATTGGTCTTGGAGCAATGGGATTTGGAATGGCAACTCACCTTTTAAATTCAAACTTTTCTGTTCTTGGTTATGATGTAAGTCCTCAGTTCAAACTTCAAATTCTTATTTCATTCTGAAAATTCCTTGCTTGGAACAAGAAACTGGTATTTAGTTGAGGCTCTCTTGTATCATTTCATTTGCCATCTTTCATGCGTAGGTTGTTTTAAATAGTATATCATATGTTCACCTGATTGATTCTTGTCATGTGTGTGTTTATGCTTGTATCTGATGTTGTCTTGTAAACCTATGTGCATGTGCATTTAGGGGTTGGTACAGGAACTTGCATGTGTTCATGTCCATTTATTATGTTTGACCGTCTCGATTAAGTTGCAGATTGATACTAGTTTAAGATACCACTAGAACTGATCTAATTTTCCGCCTTCTTTTGAATGCAGGTATATAAACCAACACTAACTCGATTTGCCAGTGCTGGTGGCTTGATTGGAAGCTCTCCAGCAGAAGTATGCAAAGGTAATTGGAGACATAGTTCTAGAAGTAGAAATAACCTATTTGTTATCTACACAATCTGTTTCTGGTGCAATAACCTATTTGTTTCTGATGCATTTTCTCGCCTAGACGTTGATGTGCTGGTAATAATGGTCACAAACGAAGCTCAAGCTGAGAGCGCTTTATATGGGGATTTTGGTGCCATTTCAGGTAAACAAATTCTTCTCAGCACATCTACTCCGTGTTTTATTAGCACTAACCCCATATTCCTGTGTTTTATAGCACTTCCATCTGGCGCTTCTATTATCCTTTCATCCACTGTTTCTCCTGGATTTGTTAGCCGACTAGATCAGCGCTTGCAAAGTATGTCTTCCATTCCATGTCACACCATGTTTATGCTTTACCTTGTGATGAAATTATAGTCTTCATTCTGCAAATGTTATAGATGAAGGAAAGAATTTGAAGTTGGTGGATGCTCCTGTTTCTGGTGGTGTTGTGAGAGCTTCCATGGGGACACTTACGGTGTGCAAAAACAACCATTCGTTTTATCCCAATATCTTGTTATTGCTTACTGATCTTTGGACTTATGTGTCTTTCTCAGATTATGGCGTCTGGTTCAGATGAAGCTCTTAAGAGTACTGGTTCAGTCCTCTCAGGTACTAAGCATGTAGTATAAGGTTCATCAGGATTCAGGTTGTAGAGTTGTCATAAATAATTTTGTGACTGCTACTTGGCTATTTGCTTTGAACAGCACTAAGTGAGAAGCTTTATGTTATCAAAGGAGGCTGTGGGGCTGGAAGGTACTTCTGAGTCAACGTGTGTTGTATTTTGTGTCTCATTGTCTATTCATATGATTGGAGGTCTATGAAGATATTGTTCAATTCATGATGCATATTGTTCTAGTTCTTCTGGGGAAGTGAAATTCCATTACTTTATTCCTCTTATATTTTGTTCTCTAGTGGTCTAAAGATGGTAAATCAATTGCTTGCTGGAGTTCATATAGCATCGGGAGCTGAGGCAATGGCATTTGGAGCTCGATTGGGTCTTAATACAAGGATTTTGTTTGATTTCATCACAAATAGTGAGGGATCATCCTGGTAACTGTCTTCCTTGTTCCAGTACTTCATTTCTGAAACCTTAAATTTGTTTCATTTAACATGCACATGTTTGCATTTGATTTTTCTCTTTGATGCTTCTAGCGTCCTAGTTTGAGAGGAAACTTGTTGTTGATGTCAAATGTTCCCATTAGGATGTGAGCTAGTAATTGCTTTCCCCTCACACATGAACTTCTTTCTACCACGAGAGGACCCAACACATGGAATTGAACATAATTGGAAGATTGCAAGTTGAAACCAAAAAGATTCAAACTTAAAATTTCCTATTTTGATACCATGATAATTTTGTTTGTTTATTACTATTCTAAAAAAAACATAAGCTTGTAGAATACGGGCAAATTATTGTTTTCTATTGGGAACACCCTAAGGCTGTCAATCGTGTTTTATATTGCAGGATGTTTGAAAATCGTGTTCCACACATGCTGGACAATGATTATACTCCGCATTCTGCACTTGATATCTTTGTGAAGGATCTGGTCAGACAGACATCTACTCCATGCAGTGTTTTGAATAAAAACAACTTATAATTGTAACAAGAAGTTATTTTCAGGTTACTATAATCATATTTTTATCATCTACAGGGAATTGTTTCTCATGAATGTTCAGTCCGAAAAGTTCCTCTTCATATTTCAACTGTTGCCCATCAACTCTTCCTGTCAGGTTCTGTTTAATCTCCTCTCTTTAAAACTGTGGAGACATATTGCATGAGTTAATGGGGATAACCATGCGGAAAAGCAAATTTCTTGTTTACCTGATAACATGTCACAAATGTCAACTTTTCAAAAAATTTAAAATCTAAAACTTAAATGAGATAGGATAATAAAGATCATTGTCTACACATAACATGTGGTGGAAAGTGATAAATATAACACTGAAACGTGTAACAGAAACCAGAAATACATGTATGTTGTAATTCGGTTATATCTGAGGAGAATTCTTTTGCATTCAATATGACAAACGTACCCCAAAGGTACCTACCTACCTAGCCACTTGCTAGTGTTTCCTGCCACCCAAAGATTGTACTGTTTGGCAGGGCCCCCCAGTTTTGAATCTAATCCGCAAAGGGGATTGCGGGATCTGGGAATCAAAATAAGAAAAAAAAGGACAAACGTTAGCCCTTGGGTTCCTCCTTGAGTTGTTAGCTTGCATATGGAAACTAAAACTTGATGCAACTACCGAGCAGGTTCTGCTGCAGGCTGGGGTCGGCAAGATGATGCTGGTGTGGTTAAGGTATGGGCAACTCTTATTGCCTTTTTCTTTCAGTTGAAGGAAGTTAGTACGTTTAGTACATGAAAAAGTATCTAAACATAATTCCAGACATAAACCTTTCCACTATTAGTTTTTTTTAACTGGAAACCTTTTGGCATATAGCTCATTTGGATTTTACTATAAAGTTTGAAATGAAAAATAGTGGGATACAAGGCAGAAAACTCTTAGTGGCTGGGCTATAGCTTGCCGAAAGATACCACCATGCTAAAGGGACTGGAGATGGCAGTCAGTGGTTTAACTAAATATTTTGTATGTCTGTAGGTTTATGAGACACTCACAGGTGTTAAAGTAGAAGGAAAACTTCCGGTTCTTAAGAAAGACTTTATCTTGAAATCCCTCCCAGGTGAGTGGCCAGTTGATCCCATTGGTGAAATACAGAGACTAAATCTGGAAAGTTCAAAGACTTTGGTTGTTCTTGATGATGATCCAACTGGAACTCAAACTGTTCATGATATTGAGGTCTTAACTGAATGGTGAGTCTCTTTAATTGTCTTATGTGTAACACTGTCATAGATTTCCTTTTGGAAACAACAAATGAGCTAAGCTACAGATTTTATTGTAGATCACACATACTATATGGGGCATATAGCAGGTTATTATGATGTGTATTTCCTGCAAAATTTCTACTTAGTTTGCGCAAATACTGACAAATATTTGCCTCCGCTATTATTCTTATGCTAATAATAGAAACCATATATACAATTTTATAAAAAAACGACCAGATATTCCAGAGTTGTTATAAATTGGTCACTGTTCTTTGTAGGACTGTTGAATCACTAAAGGAGCAGTTCAGAAAAAAACCTAAGTGCTTTTTCATTTTGACCAACTCCAGGTCCTTGAGTTCTGATAAGGTAAAGGCCTTTGTGTAAGCACATCAAAGATCCATCTATAAATCATGTTAACTCAATAAAAACATCTTTCTCTCTCCAAGGAATGCTTTTTTTTTTTTTGGTTCTTTAATTGTTTGACAGTCATATTCAGTATGTAGATTGATGTTTTTACAGGCCACGGCATTAATTAAAGACATCTGTAGAAACCTACATGCTGCAACCAAATCAATTGAGAATGCTGATTATACAGTAGTTTTGAGAGGTGATTCGACTTTGCGTGGCCATTTCCCAGAGGCAAGGACTGTGACTTTAACCATATTTGATTATTTACGTTACAGAGTCATTCAACACTACTGGGACTTCTCACATTATTTGATGAGACTACCTTATCTGTTTAGGAAGCTGATGCCGCTGTTTCAGTATTGGGTGAGATGGATGCATGGATCATCTGCCCCTTTTTTCTTCAAGGAGGGCGTTATACTATCGGAGATATACACTATATTGCAGATTCTGACCAGTAATGTTCATCCCTTTTTTGTGTCACAAATACTTAATAATGATTTGGTGGTGAATTAACATTGGTCATGGTTCATGGGGTCTTTAGGCTTATCCCTGCAGCAGATACAGGATTCGCTAAAGATGCTGCTTTTGGCTACAAATCTTCGAATCTTCGAGAGGTCTAATATTTATATCTTGTGCTTCAAATACATAGTTTTAATACATATTGCAGTGGATATTAGCTTGAATTGTAACTTTGAACTTCGTTGATAGTGGGTTGAGGAGAAAACCGCCGGCCGCATACCAGCCAGCAGTGTTACATCTGTTTCTATCCAACTTTTAAGAAAAGGTGGGCCAGATGCTGTTTGTGAGCGTCTTTGCAGTTTGCAAAAGGTACAGAGAAACCTGCTAAGTAAAACATGCAAGCAAAATACATGAAATGCTTATATATCTCCACCTTGGACTATGATTTTGGAACAGGGATCTACGTGCATAGTTAATGCAGCCAGTGACAGAGACATGGCTGTTTTTGCTGCTGGAATGATCAAGGCAAATTTCCTGCTGTTCTTAGACCTTATTATTTTTTACACCTTCCTCCAGTATATTTTGATCAAATTGTGGGCGCTTCTTTTATGAGTTTTTGTTTGATGTGGCAGGCGGAACTAAGGGGCAAGCATTTCTTATGCCGAACTGCTGCTAGCTTTGTTTCTGCCAGGATTGGAATTATCCCCAAAGCTCCAATTTTTCCCAAGGATCTTGGAATAAACAAGGAAAGGAATGGTGGTCTCATAGTTGTTGGGTCATATGTTCCAAAAACGACAAAACAGGTTGAACCAGTTATCTGGATATCTGTTGTGTGACTACCTCTCCACTATGTTATTGTTACCTTATGGCTCACACTCTTAATTCATAGGTTGAAGAGCTTAAATTACAATGCAACCAGATTTTAAGAAGCATTGAGGTGACCAAACATAATTTCTCTCTTGTGCATTTAATGTTCATTGTTAAGTTACTGTTGATTCCAAACACAAAATTGTAATAGGTCAGTTTCTATGTAACTTTACTTTGGTAACACTAGGGATCTGAATATGCCATAATTAGGTTTCGGTTGCTAAAGTTGCCATGAGTTCTATGGAAGAGAGGGAGGAGGAAATCAGTAGAGCAGCTGAGATGGCAGATATTTTTCTTACAGCTCGGAAGGACACTCTAATAATGACCAGTCGGGAGCTCATTACCGGCAAAAGTTAGTCTCTTTTTCTTTTTGTTTAAAGAATTATCTGAGTGTATCATATTTGCAAGAACCATGTAAAGAGCTTTCTCTGCTATTGTCTATTTTGAATTGGCCATTGGGCAGCTCCCTCTGAGAGTTTGGAAATCAACTTCAAAGTTAGCTCTGCACTGGTGGAAATAGTTAGACGCATATCTACGAAACCACGATACATACTTGCCAAGGTACTTCTACGTTTTCAAATGAAAAATGTTCAATTCCCTATTTTTCTGTATTTAAAATATTATATATATATATATGGAAGTTATCATTGAGGGATTAAATCTCATCTTTCTGTCACAAAGTTTAATTGTATCAGTAGCCTCTCTGTTGTAACTGGTATTGTTTCATGAGTTTTAGTGCTGAATTTGTACTTCATTTAGGGTGGAATCACATCATCTGACCTTGCTACGAAAGCTCTTGAAGCAAAATGTGCCAAAATAGTGGGACAAGCCCTGGCCGGTGTTCCCTTGTGGCAGCTAGGTCCTGAGAGTAGGCATCTGGGAGTTCCATATATTGTTTTTCCTGGTGAGTTTTGGTGTTCTCAAATATTCTTGTGCTAGATTTACTAAAAGGGTGTATTAGAATAAAAATAGCAGTTGTCCACATCCTAAAGCTTAAGTCTTGGGTAACAATGGTAAATCAACAAAAAAAAAATTCATGGCATAGTGGGAGATTTTGAATTCAGATCTCGCAAAGCTCGCAATTTATTTGAATTCCACATGTTGGGATCTCTAACAGTGGAGAGACACCAACTCGTGAGGGTGAGAGGGAGTGTTAGAATACAAAAATAGTTGGCTCACAGCCACATTTTAACACTTAAGCTTTTGGGAACAATGATAAACCAACAAAACTTATATATTGGACTTGGAACTTCTTAAAATTCTCCAATTCTCAGGTAATGTTGGTGACAATAGCGCATTGGCGGAGCTAGTGAAATCCTGGGCTCGTCCAGTCAGACTTTCATCAACCAAAGAGCTTCTTCTGGTAAGGATCATTAATTTCAAGTTTCATAACTATTTTTTCCTCGCATACTAACAAATGTAATATCTGTAAAGAATGCGGAAAAGGGTGGATATGCTGTAGGAGCATTCAATGTTTATAATTTGGAAGGAGTAGAGGCTGTTGTTGCTGCAGCAGAGGAAGAACAAAGCCCTGCTATATTACAGGTTAGAAATACTATAACGTGAGATGAATCTAGTTAATTTTGTTAATAGCCCAATGTTCCTACAAGACAGATTGTGTGACTATTTTAAGTAACTTTTAGGAAGCCAATGACAGGAGATTAACTTAATCTTTTCTAAACTTGACACGTAATTAGAATTTCTCAAACGATCCAATTGCTACAAGAGATGATTGCTCAATTGAACATCTCTTCATGGAAACAGAGCAACATCCAATTCCTCTATGCTAATTCCACTGCTCTTGTATTTCCTATATGTAGATGCATCATAGGGTTAATAATTTTCTCTTGTTGATTTCAGGAAATGAACTAGGATAGGAACAAACGGTTCTCTTATGCTCATTGATTATTTATTTATTTATAATAATATAACGATTCAGTTTAATGCCTCAAAGATTTATCTATGATATATCTGAATTTCAATGGAATTTCAGATAATTTTATAAATTGTCATTTATTATCTAGATCCATCCTGGTGCCTTGAAGCAAGGAGGGATCCCGTTGGTCGCATGTTGTATATCTGCTGCTGAACAAGCCAGTGTAAGTGGCACATTCTTAACACGTGTTTCTATAATGTCCTTCCGCGTCATTACCGAACCTACTTTCAGTCCCTAAGAGCTGGTACTGAGATAATGTACATATTATGGCAGGTTCCCATAACTGTACACTTTGACCATGGAACTTCAAAGCAAGATCTGGTGGAAGCTCTTGAGTTGGTAAGTTGACTTTTTACCCTTTGTGTTCATGTTGTTTATATCATCATATATCATCATAGAGAGTTATTAATTGTATTTTCCTTCCCAGGGATTTGATTCAGTCATGGTGGATGGTTCACATCTTTCCTTCACCGAAAATGTTTTGTACACTAAGTTTGTAGCGTTCTTCGCTCACTCGAAAGGTGTGCTAGTAGAAGCTGAACTAGGGAGATTGTCAGGGACAGAAGATGATTTGACTGTTGAAGATTATGAAGCAAGGCTGACTGATGTTAAGCAGGTTATTTTTTTCCTTCCAAGTTTACGAAATCAGCTTTCCTTTACTCTTAAACTTTTCTAAAATCATGAGAAGGCCTTGCGAATTTCAGGCTCAAGAGTTCATTGATAAAACCGGGATAGATGCTTTGGCAGTGTGTATTGGAAATGTCCATGGAAAATACCCTGCAAGTGGGCCAAATCTGAGACTTGATTTGCTTAAGGTCAAGTATAAATGTTGATTGATGAATGAAATATGCATGTTACATGGGTACCAAATATGCAAGCCTTCCCCACCCACACACATCCTCATTATCTATGTTAGTACTGAGTTCAATTTCCTCTATGATAGGATTTGTATGCTTTGAGTTCGAAGAAAGGAGTGCTCCTAGTGCTTCATGGAGCTTCTGGTTTGCCTAAGGAACTTATCAAGGTAAAATGTTTATATGTAATGACTTGAAAAACAATTAGGGTTCATAGGTTTTCGTTTACAAGTTGAAGATCATCTTGTATTTCGATGCCTTAATGTCTGCATAAACTGTTTTGAGTCCTTGAACAGGAATGCATAGAGCATGGTGTGAGAAAGTTCAATGTAAATACGGAGGTGCGAAAAGCTTACATGGATTCCCTTAGCAACTCTAAGAAAGATCTAGTCCACGTTATGGCGTCTGCAAAAGAAGCCATGAAAGCAGTGATTGCAGAGAAGATGCATCTATTTGGTTCTGCAGGAAAGGCGTGAGATGGTTTTGAAGCGACCACCAACCGAGTGATGGAGTGATGTATCACATATGATGAGTCATCTATCTAATTACATGTTCCCAACTGTTGAATTTGTTGTATAAATAAAAATTCAAGCTCATGTATAATTAAATTGAGGAACTCACAAAATAATAGTCTTTTCAATTTCCATACCATTATCTGTCCTCTCTTTTATGTAAATAGGTCGAGACTCGAGAGATATCTCCATTAACTATTAATCCGTATTATTTTTAGATTAAATTAAAGATCAATAGATCATCTTTATTGTTAGTTACTCACCAAATCTCAAGTTTAAGCTGTCACAGGAGCATAGATAAATCCCATTCCTCCACTCCCAATTATTTTTTTTCCTTTTTCTTTTTTCTTTTTTTTATTCATTAAAAAAGCAGAAGTATGGGATTTACAACTGAGGAGAGAGAATTCTCCAGGTATCATGTTTTCTGGGTCACTCTTATTTCTGTGTACTTGGCTCCTGGGAGAATATGGACGCAGGGACTGTACGGACGACGATTGAGACGCCATTGCAGGAGTTGGAGTTCTCCTGAGGTCAGGTTTTGGCAGTTGGGTTTCCCTCGGATACTGACTCAAACAAAACGCACAGCAGTAGAGAAATTTGATAAAACCAAATGATGTGCTCCAGTGGCAAATATTTTTCACATACGACAAAGGACCTTGGGGAAAATTTGCGAATACGAAGAATGTACAAAGTCGTTTCTACCCTACTAGGCGACAAAATAAGTAAGGGCATCTATGACATTTCAATTTGATAGGAGATTGACAGATAGAGAACAGGATGAACTAGGAACCATGTTGGCAACATATCTGGGAGAGATGACGTCACCCCACCACCACAACTTAAAAGGAGGAGAACGGTAAGCATCAGAATTCAAAAACGTCTCGATCTCTCTCTCTCTCTCTCTCACTCTGTTACGCTCTAGTCTTGGCAACAATGGCAGATCAGAACCAGAAAGCAGAAATCTTTGAGCTGAACAATGGGACCATGCGTGTCTTCATCACTAACTATGGCTGCACCATCACCTCCTTATCTGTTCCTGGAAAAGATGGTATCTAAAGAGATTTCCTTTTTCTGTCGATCTGTCTGCTGTTTTAGATAGGCAGTTTCATTGTATAGTATTTGTGGTCATCTGAGAAAATGTTGCTGATGTTTGGATTGGTTGGTGTGAATTTTGAAGGAAAATTGGCTGATGTTGTTCTTGGATTCGACTCAGTTGACCCGTATATGGTAAATTTTATTCCCTTTTTTCTGCCAACCCGTTTGATTTTTCTTCCTGTTGTTTGTGATATCGTGCAAAAATTGATTCTATGTGTGTTGATCAGCTGTTTTCATAGTAAAGCAAGAGAATTATTTGTTAAAGTTGTCAATTTGGTGAACCAAAAATGAAGGAATTTGGAGATTTAATGTGAATGCTATCCAATGTCTTTTTTCTCTGTTGAGGGATCAGTTGTTGGGATTGAACTGTTAGAATTTTACATTTGGAATGGGAATGATGAGCTTTTGTACTTGTGTTTTAATATGTATTTTCCTTTTGAAATGCCATCGCTTGTGTGATCAGCAAGGGCTTGCTCCTTATTTTGGCTGCATTGTGGGTCGGGTCGCAAATAGAATCAAAGATGGAAAATTTACACTCAACGGAACTGACTACTCTTTGCCTGTTAACAGACCTCCAAACAGTCTCCATGGTATGGATTTGTCCAGTTTTTCATTTTCAAGGCCTTTGTTGCTATCGACTTTTTCTGTTTATTTTAGATTTGCCTAAATTTGCTGCTAAATTTATGTTGTTTGAATCATATCATAGACAATACAAATACTTTCCTTCATTCACTTTCTTGAAGAATGCAGGGGATATGGTGTTTAGAAGACGAGTCTGATTGGCATTTGATTGTGATTAATGATCTATTCTATTGTTGCCCTTGCTGATATTTGCACAACTGAATTCACGTGGTATACATCCTGCTGATTTTTTGTCCTCTCGTTAGGTGGTCACAAGGGGTATGATAAGCAGATATGGGAGGTAGCAGAACATAAAAAAGGCGATAATGGATCCATCACTTTTAAGTACCATAGTCGTGATGGGGAGGAAGGTTCTCTCTCTCTCTCTCTCTCTCTCTCTCTCTCTCTCTTTTATTTTTATTTGTTGCCTTGCAATAGGTTACCCAGGCAATCTTTCTTTGACTGCAACTTATACGCTTACTTCAACGACATCGATGAGACTTGACATGGAAGCAGTACCTGAGACCAAGCCCACCCCAGTCAGTTTAGCTCAGCACACCTACTGGAACTTAGCTGGCCATAACTCGGGGAACATACTCGACCATGCAATTCAAATCTGGGCAAACCATGTTACCCCTGTGGATGAAAACACAGTCCCAACAGGTGAAATCAAGCCAGTTAAAGGCACACCCTTTGATTTCACCGCTCAGAAGAGGATCGGTGAGTCCATCCATGAGGTCGGTATAGGGTATGACCACAACTATGTGCTGGACTGTGGGGAAGAGAAAGAAGGCCTGAAACATGCTGCAAGAGTGAGGGACCCATCCAGCTCAAGGGTCCTTAACCTATGGAGCAATGCCCCCGGGATGCAGTTTTACACTGGAAATTATGTCAATGGGGTTGTTGGCAAAGGAGGCGCTGTCTATGGAAAGCATGCCGGGCTCTGTTTGGAGACACAGGGGTTTCCAAATGCAATAAACACACCAAACTTCCCGTCCATTGTGGTTCAACCTGGTGAGAAGTACAGACACAGCATGTTGTTTGAGTTTTCAGTTGAATAAGTGTAAGTAATTCTGTTGAACTCTATTGAGGAGCAGATATCTGAATATGGTTGACATTTGGTTTGCTCACTGCCTACAAGTGTTTAGAGCCTGGATGAAATCGTAATAAATGATGAGATGCTTTGCTTATGTTAGAATTATTCTTTGTGAAGGACCTTTTATTTTATTTTATTAACTCCTTCCTTGTTTGAGCTTATTTGAAATTTCAGTTCCTTGAACATTTTGATCAGTTTGGTACACCTATTTTCAAACGTATCAGCAACTACAATCCATTTCAGAAGGCAGTTTATTCCCCTTAAATAATTCTAACAATAATATAAACTAGTAGAAGTAATTTGCAATAAAATATTTGCGGCAGAATGATGCTTTAGCTTTCAACAGCATCCCAAAGTGAACTGCTAAAATTTAGCAACCAAAGCTGAAGATTTCAAAAGTAAATCTCTATTTTTATACTGCAAAAGTAAATTCTTATACAAGCAATTTTATACTATGAAATTCAACATTCTTTGATCCACAAGATGTTGGTGGATCCTTATTTTTTGTTCTTGTTTTTATGGGTTTAACTCATATTATTTCTTATAAATAAAATCCGTTTTTTATTCTTTCCTAATGGGCTAAGAGCTGGAAATCATTATAATGGCAGTTATTTGAAAGAATTTATATTCTCATTACCCAATATTACTTCTATTAGTAAAATAATTGAAGAAATAAGTCTAGAGCAATGGACTAAAGTGGTATTTTAGCCCAAAGCCCTACAATAATATGGCAAAATTGTATATGTAAAGCGTATAGCCGCGCGGCTATACTATTTAAAAAGAAACAAGAAAAAACGTACAAACGCGAGGCTATAATCTTTGTATATTCGAATAGTTTAGAGGTATAGCCGGTCGGCTATACTCTGTACATGTATTCAACTTTGAAAGTATAGCCGAGCGGCCTTACACCTTAAAAAATAAAAAATAAAAACCGTCTAGCCGTGCGGCTGTACTCTTTACATATATTCGAATATTTTAAAAACGTATAGCCGTGCGACTATACTCTTCAATAATAAAAAAATACAAAACGTATAGCCGTGCGGCAATACGCTTTACCAACATTCAACTATTTTAAAAGTATAGCCACGCGACTATACGAGTTGAATATATGTGACTATTTTGACAGTATAGCAGCCCGGCTATACTCTCTTTAAAAATAATAATAATAACCAATGTATAGCCGCGCGGCTATAAGCTTAAAAAATAATAAAAGAGTATAGCCGCGCGGCTATACGGTTTACATATATTCGGCTGTTCTAAACGGCTATACTCTTTAAAAAAATTTAAAAATAAAACAACAGTATAGCCGCACGGCTATACGTTTTACATATAGTCAACTATTTTAAAAGTATAGCCGTGCGGCAATACGCTTCAAATGGACATTTTAGAAAGTAAATTATTATACAAGCTATTTCATACTTTGAAATTCAACATTCTTTGATCCACAAAATGTTGGTGGATCCCTATTTATTGTTGTTGTATTTATGGGTTTAACCCGTATTATTTTTTACAAATAAAATATATTTTTTATTCTTGCCCAATGGGCTAAAAGCTGGAAATCATTATAATTGGAGGTATCGGAAAGAATTTATATTCTCATTCCCCAATATCGCTTGTATAAATAAAATAATTGAAGAAATAAGTCTAGTGCTATGGGCTAAAGTGGTATTTTAGCCCTGAGCCCCAAAATAATATGTCAAAAATTGTATATTCAAATATTTTAAAAGTATAGACACGGTACTGTACTTTTAAAATATTCGAATATATTTAAAGAGTATAACCGCGCGGCGGTACCCATTAAAAATTAAAAAAATAACAGTATAGCTTCGTGTGCATAGCCCTAGGTTTCAAATTAACAAAAAGGCTTATCTATGATAAATATTTCCATGTCAGAACGTATTTTGTTTTAAGTTATGATGTTTTTTTTAATGATCCATTCACATGCTTCCATATTTTGAAGGTTTCAAATGTGTTCATGTTCTTGTACTTTTCACGAGGCCTAGAGACACCTAGGAAGTCCTCTAACAAGATAGGCCCAATATGGGAAGGAGGAGCAAAATGACCAGCAAAGCATATGTTGCAGCTCCGTTCTTCTCCCTGTAATGGGTTTGACTGCCTATATCCTACTCGCCTTCCTCTCACCTTGTTCGAACAAGTTCAAGCGGTAAACTTTCCATTGCAAGCTAAAATTCAGAATGCAACGAGAATCAGATAGGAGAATATCTATCAGTTTCAGTAAAAAGCTGAAACGATGCTTACCCATAGTCTGGGAGTTGTAGGATCAGATTTTGAATGCACTTTCGCTACATCTGATTGAAATGTTATGACTACGGCAACTTTAAATTCTATTGAAAATGGACTGCACAAAAAGTTAACAAAGGAGTGAGTTGACGTGAACAAACTACACTTTTGATGCTTAAATGGCGCAACCACACAAACAGAGCAGATTTAGCATATCATATAGTTGCACAATGCAGTGGTTCGTATGCAGTACAAATAGTTCTTGGGTTCTCATGAACTACTAAAAAACTTAAATTAATGAACATCCCAACGGCCAATGATCATGAAATCATGTGATGTGACATTCAACAGTATAAAACGGATGTTCAAATGTCTAGCTTGAGGTGCAATGCAAATCATCTAGTTGGGGAACTTACCCAGCTAAGACGGTAGGACAAGTCAAAAGACGGGGAAGTATAACATAAATGGGTAGAGTCATATTACGGCAGACATCTCCATCTGCCATCTGATATATCAAGAGGAAGCCTAAAAAAATGTTAGTGACAAGTTGAGTTGAATACGTTAATGAGATGAGAAAGGGTGCATGCCTGTGTAGTCTGAATCAGAGACTGTTCAGTTACTATTTTCTCCCCAAGAAGGATTGACTCTACACGAAGCAAGTGCATGTCAATCGAACAAATTGGAACTGCAGACGCTTCTACAGTTAGTTCACCAACAATGGGATCTGATAAACAACATTGAGTGGACATTTTCCCAATAACCCGGAATCCACCTATTTCAGCAATACCAATCATAAGTTGATCATGTCATGACACATTCAACATCTTCCAAAAAGAAATTAGATGTTAAATGGAACACATAGTTTCTATATGGTACATTTTTTTTCATAGGCATGCGAAGGAAAGAAGCAAACCTGACTTTAGTTCAGGAAGTAGCGGATGCCTTTGAGTATCCTGAGTAAGGTAAAAGATAACCATCTCCGGAGAAACTGGTCGCTCAAGAAGATCAGCTAAAAGACAAAATATCATCGAAGCATTAACTTTAATTGAAGTATTTAAGTGAAATTACAAAGAAAAGGTAAAACCATTTAGTACCTGTAAATATATTACATACAAAAGTGCATTCAAAACCTACCTTTATCACTTTCAACTATGAACTCCATTGTTGTAGATAATGATTTATGCAGGTATCCTCTCGATATATCTACAGTTAATAAATACTATGGAACATTTTATTAATCATCAGGTTTCAGATAAATATGAAAATAAAATGCATTACCAAGGTGGGAATTTGGAATTGATACCAATGATTCTCAAGTCAGAGTGTGAACCACTGAACATTTTCACTTTTAAAGATAAAAATATGCACCTGAATGTTAATATTTGCTCCATGGAAGGTCTCATAGAACCTTTCCAGGTTCTTTTCTCCCGGCTGCTTGATATTCATGGAAAATGGAATCTGCCACAAACACGAACTATAATTTGCAAATTCACCTCCAACTAAACAAAAGGAAATGATGCAAGTTTTACTAAGATAAAAGCAGCTATGAATGCACAACGGGATTTATATTGTGACTTGAAATATGAAAGAGGCCATGGCTGTCAAATTTACTACTGGTACCATACATTGTTGGAATATCATAGTGATTCAAGGTTTAACATCTTTTCTTCCAAGTTTAAAACAACTGTTAAAATTGAATTACTTCGAAGATACCTCTGATGTGCCTGAAGCAATCTTTCCAGAAGGTCTAACCTCAATAATTTTATTCCTGTTTCCAAGTAAGTAAAACAAATCAGTTGTGGAAAACCTCATCCGAGGCAAAGAGGACAAACACATAAGAACCCAATCCCTTCGTAATTAGAAACAAGATATTGGATTATTTTTACCACAATTGCAATAGTGTAACTCAAGGTTAATAAATGGGGCTGCAATTACACAAATCTACCAAAATCAAATGCAGCATAATAGTTACGGAGTTCAATTTCTGCCAATTACAATACTTTACAAGGCAAGAAAATTGAAAATTTAAAATTTAAATCCAAGAACCAGCAAACAATGTCCAAGAGCTATGAAAATCGCACTCACACAATGGAAATAGGCTTGGCGACACCAACCAAAGTCTCGATAACTCCCGCCGATCCTCCACGAACCTGTAGAAAACAATAATAGTAATCATGAACCAGAAACAGCAGAAGGACCTTGCCACCTATTCGGCTACTTAAAAAATGCAATTTATCAAATCAGTTTTGTTTAGTTCTGTAATTGATCTCAGTTTTCGCTTCATTCTGAAACATTCAGTAATAAAAGATACGATTTTTAAGAAGAAAAACAATATATAAAAAAATTGAAGAGTTTGTTTTTCATTGATTTTATCGGGAACTAAACAGAGGGGAAAATTCGAACCTGCAAGTTGACAGATCCGTTAACAGCGAGGCGAATTCCATAGTGGGAGATTGAAGAAGAAGACCTCACTATGATTTTACCCTCAACAACTTCCTGAAATTCCATCTCATCGTCATCTTCATCATATATTTGTTGTATAATTAGAAACACACAAGAGAGAGAGAGCAGTTACAGAAGGGCGATAGACGCGATTAATTCGTGAAAGTTTGAGCTCTATCGACATTGTTAACGACGCAGAACAGAGCAGGTTGCAGGAGCTCAGCAAGTCAGCAGCTATGGTGGTGACTATACTCTTCTATAATCTATACACATATTCACGCACGCAATTGTACGTCTGCTTACGTGGCAAGAATTGATTGGCAAAATGACTGCATTCTACGTGGCAAGTAGCAACCGAAACAAATTTTACAACTAACGCCCATCCCAATATTACCCCTCTCTCTCAGCTTAACGTTGTTTCCCAAATTCCCAATCATCTTCCTCCTCCGCCTTCTTCTTCATCTTCTCCGTTCTGTTATTTGGCAAAGCAATGAATTTTGCAACTCGGAAACTCATCTTCGCTCTCCTGATTGTCTCTCTCTACCCTCTCTCTCTCTTCGCTCGGCCATATGTCCTCGTCCTCTCTCAAGACGACCTCTTAAACACCCCCACTTCGCCCGACGACTCACCGCCCGCCGACTCGACTCAAAATGACTCGCCCGAGTGGGATGAGTTCGGCGACTCCGGCTCCCCACAGTCCGAGGAGGAGCTCGACCCGGGTTCCTGGCGCCCCATCTTCGAGCCCGACCCCTTTAGGCCCGACCCGGCCAACAACCCGGACGAACGCTACTACTCCACCGTATCCAAATTAATCAAGTCCGTCAGCTCCGGCGACACGACGCTCATGGACGACGCCGTTTCGGAGATCGAGGAATCAGCTTCCCGCGGTCTCCCTCACGCGCGGTCCGTGCTGGGGTTTCTGTACGCTACGGGCCAGATGAGGAAGCAGAACAAAGCCAAGGCCTTCACGTACCACTACTTCGCTTCCGAGGGTGGTAACATGCAGTCGAAGATGGCTCTCGCTTATACTTACTTTAGGCAAGATGTATGGAAACCCTGGCTGGCTCTTCAAATTTTAGCGATCTGTGTTTGGTTGCAGCTATAAAAAGGAGGAAATTCAAGGATTGATTTTGTTGTTGCCTTTGTCTTTTGTTTGGTTTGCAGATGTTTGATAAAGCAGTGAAGCTTTACTCGGAATTAGCCGAGGCAGCAGTGAATAGCTTCCTAATTTCGAAGGACTCGCCGGTGATCGAGCCAGTGAGGATCCACAATGGAGCTGAGGAGAACAAGGAGGCGTTGAGGAAGAGCAGAGGCGAAGAAGATGAGGACTTTCAGATTTTGGAGTACCAAGCTCAGAAGGGAAACTCTGCGGCAATGTATAAGATTGGTCTCTTTTACTATTTTGGTCTGAGAGGGTTGAGGCGCGACCATGCCAAGGCGTTGTCGTGGTTTTTGAAGGCGTTGGAGAAGGGAGAGCCTCGGGCGATGGAGCTGCTTGGGGAGATTTATGCTAGAGGAGCTGGGGTTGAGAGGAATTACACCAAGGCTCTGGAGTGGCTTACACTCGCAGCCAAACAGGAGCTTTATTCAGCCTATAACGGGATAGGCTATTTGTATGTTAAAGGATATGGGGTGGAGAAGAAGAACTACACCAAAGTAAAAATACACCTTGGCTCTATCTCTATCTCTACCTGTATTTATAAGCTTTATGCGTTCTTATATTTTGAAAACTATGTTATGTTACTGATTGTTGTTACCTTTATCATTTTTGATAAACGATCACCTGGGAATAAAATTCCACATTGCTAGTCGTAATAGTTTCCCAGAGCGTAGTTTTCCTATGAAAGTTCCTTCCAATACATTGATAGGTTGTTTCATTCATTCATATGTTACATCTAATCCTTTTCATCATCCTTTTAATCACAGGCAAAAGAGTATTTTGAGAAGGCTGCTGAGAATGAAGACGCAGGGGGGCACTATAACCTAGGAGTAATGTATCTCAAAGGGATTGGGGTAAAGAGAGATGTGAAAATTGCATGTAAATACTTTATAGTGGCTGCTAATGCTGGTCAACCCAAGGCATTCTACCAGCTGGGAAAGATGTTTCATACTGGAGTTGGGCTTAAGAAAAATCTTCCCAGGGTAAACTCACAGTTATTTTCTCTTAAATTAGTTTGGTTTGTTTTTAGCTTTCCATGTCCTTTCTTTTTCCCCTAAAGAACAAAATATGCAATAGAAGAGATTTGAGGAGATTTATTTTATTTTCTTCTACTATTTGTGGAAATGAAAAAGTGATTTGTCATTTAATTATAAGTAAATGATCTTAAGATGCACCAACACACATGCACTGATAATTCCAATTCATAATTAAGATTTAATTCGTTTCAGGCCACTGTATTGTACAAACTAGTTGCAGAAAGGGGACCATGGAACTCCTTGTCCAGATGGGCACTAGAATCATACTTAAAAGGGGACATGGGCAAGGCATTCTTCTTGTATTCAAGGATGGCTGAGTTAGGCTATGAGGTAGCGCAAAGTAACGCTGCATGGATTCTTGACAAATATGGAGAACGTAGCATGTGCATAGGAGAATCCGGTTTCTGCACGGATGCAGAAAGGCATCAGCGTGCTCATTCATTGTGGTGGCAAGCATCTGAGCAGGGTAATGAACATGCTGCTTTGCTGATTGGGGATGCATATTACTATGGTCAGGTAGGTGTCTCAGGATGAAATATGTTTGTCACTACTCTATCTTCAGGATCTATCATTAGAGTTACGCAGCTTGATCTCTCCTTGACTGTTTTTCTTTTCCTTCTTCCTTTCTTAGGGTACTGAGAGAGATTATGAACGTGCGGCAGAGGCTTACAAGCATGCCAGGACCCAGTCTAATGCACAAGCCATGTTCAACCTTGGTTACATGCATGAGCATGGACAAGGGCTGCCTTTGGATCTTCATCTCGCGAAGCGTTACTATGATCAAGCTCTAGAGATTGATCCAGCAGCAAAGTTGCCTGTCACATTAGCCCTTACAAGCTTATGGATACGAAAAAATTATGCCGATGGTTTCCTGGTTAGTTCTTGTTGATTATCCTTACTGCCTTTTCAAATAATAGTTATAGTAATCACTAATCAGTGGTATCGTGCAATTTTTCAATCTTGAATAGTGTTAAAGTGTTTCAAAGTGCAGCATTTTCCTTATGGCTGCTGGACCTAGCTTCTTTCTAATGCTATTAATAGTGTTATCTGCCAGTTCAAATAGTTCTTAAAATGTGGAAGACTTTTCTGATTCTTACTCCTGCAGACAGTTCTTCCAACACCCCCTGGGAGTTAAGTGGGTATATTCCTTGATTGATCAAGGTTATTATAGTTGGATCAGCATGATATTGCTTCTGGTTATTATCATCTCCAAACTAAAACCCGGGCTCCTTTTTTTTTTTTTTTTCATTTTTAATTATCAAAGGAAAAAGATCCTGGTCCCTGTGTGGAAAATATATGGTACTAAATTGACATACATGGAAAGTAGAATGACTTTTTGAAACATTTTCTTTTGGGGAATACTGTATTTTACCAGTAAAGTTGATTATTTCTTCAAAAAGATTATTTGTTGATAAAGTATTAGGAAGTTTAAGAATCAACCATGCTGAATTGTTTGGCTACCGTGTGCCCAAGTTTTCATGCAAAGTGCTTCAATTGACAAAATGCTGATTAGTGAGTTAGTGAAATTAAGGTTGCTCATAGTCCTTTACAGTTTGAATTGTAAATCCCTGTTAATATGCAATATCCTTGTAAAAAGTTATCCCCTTGAAATGCATGCTTGATTTGTAGGTCCATGATGGATGAGCATTGATGTAAATCCGTTCTCTGAATCTTCATTCATTCGTTTTCTTTTTCTCCATTTGGGTCTATATGCAGGTCCATGTGATCGATTCATTGCCTGAAGTTTATCCCAAGGTGGAAGAATGGGTAGATAATGTGCTTCTAGAGGAAGGAAATGCGACAATATTGACTCTTTTTGTTTGTCTCCTCACTGTCCTATATCTTCGTGAGCGACAACGCAGGCATGCTGTTGCTGCTCCCGGTGGGATGGCTGTGCCACACCACCCGAATGAGCATGTTGCACCAGCACCCTTATAGTTTTGTTGGCAATGGTGGTCTTCAGGAACTACAAGGCTCTTTTTGCTGTTCCGTCGGTTACGAACAAATATTTTCCTCTAGAATGCATATGTACAGGTATCTGATGCTCCTCAAATTATTTGGAAAAAAAGCTTTTGTTGTTTGGCACAAATTGTACCATAGACATAGAGAGACTCGCGCAAGTAGAAAATAACAATGTTTTTGCCTCACATATAAAAAACCATGTATCGCTTCTAAATTTCAGTTAGAGGTATGACTCTCGGCGTTGTTCTGCAGCAGGCTAGAATTCAGTAGATTCATTTTGCGTTAGTTTTCGTTACTTCTTAATTTCCGTTGTTGGAGGTAGAACTCTCTTTTCGGTGTGCATCTCTTTTCACTTTAATAAAATCCTTTACCCAAAAAAAATAGATACATTTAAATCAAAGAGAACATGGCTTGAATTGTGAAAATATATGGTGGTTTGTGGAGGCTGAAACTCTGGTATGACCTCTTCATAAGTTTTGTGGACCATCAATTTTGAAGCCAAATTTTGAGTGTGGTATGTTAAAAAATAGTCGGCCCAAAAACAAATATATACTGAAGAGCACATTAAAAATTCCAGCTCAAAACCATCTATAACACTCGGCCAGGCAATCTCACAGCCCAAGCAAAAGATCAGAGTCAGGCTGGCCCATCAGAGCTGGGCCATTTTCACAGGGCTGGACATACTTGCTTGCGAAAAAGAAGGGATATTTCTTTTATTGACAAAAAGCTCATTAGAGTTGTATCATATACAAAAAGCTCCTCGACAGAAAATATACAAAAGTTCCCAGAAACGAGTATTGTAGCAGGGAAATATTCTACTCGCCAGACAATTTGCAGTACGGATTTCCAACCATGTGAGCAGCGTATTTAATTCAGGCCACCAGCTTGGTGCCAAAAATCCGGTAGTGCCTACTTCCCAATTTGTCACTTTGAGATTTTAGACAAACTTGTACCCATGGGGGATTTCTGCGAGTGTCATTTTGCTCCCCATCATTATCTGCAATCACTCCTAACAATGCATTAAGTTTGCTCTCCAATGCCTTAACAAAGGACTGGCCATCAAAAAACTTCACCTATCATAAAATGAAAATGACAATCAGGAGGTACAAAAAATCATGGAAAAAAGAGGGACTACACATATAGTCTGTCCAAATATAAATTTAATGATGAAATCAAGTTCTTACCCCATCTTCTGCATACAAGAAAGCATGAATTCTAGCGGTTGAGTCCTCCAGAGTCAGCCTAATTCTGTCAATCCCAGCAGGAAAGCAGAAGTCCTTAGCCTGCCATGGGAAAGCAGCTATGACTCGAACTACACACTTGAAACTGGCTGTAACCTACAAGGTTTGGAATACATACATTGAATACACAGCAGTTATGATGTTTCAACAAAAAAATGCCACGGGCAATAACATTTCAAAAAGAATAATAATAAGGGTTCCAGGCAACGTGAAATAGGTAAGATACCTCTGAACTTGTGAGGACATCCATTAAGGTAAGAAATATCGCATGGTCATCATCATCATCACCATCAACCTCTGAGGGAGGAAATAAACATTCATAAAAAGGTCATCGCCATAAGAGAAATTCAAAACATAGAGTATATGTTTTCCAAGAGTTGAAACAGAGAAATAACAAATCCAAAAATTCATCACTAAGAAACTAACAGTGTGGTACCTGTCACTTGAGAAGGCCAAGGTAAGCTCCAAAATGGCATCCGCCTTAAACTTTGCGGACTTCGTGACAATCGTTCATCATATAACCTAATCCATATAAATTGCCTCAGAGTTTTGGTAAGTTGCAACATAATGATGCAATGCATGATAATAAAATCTCAGCTAAAAGTAACGACCTTTGCCGCTCAAGTTTGAGACGGTCCTCATTTGGTGTATATCGAAGCTTTGTGAATGGTGTCAACACACAACGCCATAACCCTGCATGCACTTCACATAGCAAATTCAAAAGCTTTACCCACTCCCCAGTTTTTAGCAAGCGAAGGTTGTCATTTTCAATGTCTTGAGATACCACTCTTAAGACAGTTCCGACAGAAGGAAAGCTACATAAGGTATCTCTTGGCAAAGGCAGTGATTCCAGATGTAGGGGAAGTGGGTGATGCATTTCATCTTCAAGCCTGTGGTTCAGAGTTACCAACATTTGATATTTTACTTAACAAAATAAAAACTCTAGCAACCATATAGTAAAACTAAACTAGCTTTCACCACGAACCTATATATCCATTTAACTGAACACATGCATGCAGGCACAGTCCATTAAGATGATGCTCTAATGTCATACACCATTACACAAGTTGCAATTGAGTAAGGTCACGTCAATAGAGAATTGCATTAAAAGAACACCAGCAAAAAAGGATAGCAGAATATCAGAATTCTGCAAGGAAAGTATGCTGAAAAGATCAATCACTTTTATAACTTCAACACTAATTCAATGAAAGGCAGATAACCTCCTTTAAAATAAATAAATACAAGAAAGAAGTCCAACAAGACAGGGCCAAAAACAAAGTACCCCATAATTTTATAATTAATCAAGATGCTCTATAAGAAAAAACAAACATTGACGACTATCGACTCACTTTTGAAGAATATTGGATGGTGGAGCATCAGTTCCATCCCAAACAAAGGCCATCCATTCATTTCCAGCACCCTCATGGATATGAATTATCTTAAAGTAGTAAACAAGGAAAAAAATTATATTGTACTCAGTATATTGAATAATTAAACAATAAAAAGAATAAGTAACTTAACCGGGTCAGATCTTTAAACACATTTGAATAAATTAAGAATAATTCAAATATCCTTCTGTATTCCCCATTTTCTCTTTTTAAAAGAAAAATAATCAGCTGCACTAATTTAACTAGTGCACATATTTAACAAAAATGGTTGACTTACTTTACAAACCATATTAAAGCTTTCACCTCCGTTAATTTCCCTGATCAACGAGAAATAATTTGCACCTACAAAGCGCATACATTTCCATTAAAATTAGATAACCAAATAAACACATAAGGCGGGCTTGGGAGATAACTCTCCATCGACCAAGAAATAAAAAAGTTCCTGTCTTTCTTCATATTTACAATTAGATCAGAAAGTTGCTCCATGCAAAACTCAGCACTTTCCAGAGAGAGATTCCAAATTAGATTATTCCCCCCACCATCACTAACCACAACATTGTATTATTTTTTTAGAACGAGTTAAATTCATATATTTTCATAATTGAATTATGTTATGTCTTTATTTGAAACAAAATACTTTCAGAATACCTTCATCAAACTGAAAATTCTGCAACCATCTTCTCAAGTCTATCACAAAATTCTTGTCTAGGTCTTTCTCGCGAAATGTTTCGTAAGTTTGGTAAGGAACTAAATTTCTACCATCCCTTCCTTCATATATAGCAAAGCTAGAGTACTTCTTGTAAAAAACAGCATTTATCTTATCATCATGAATTTTCATCTGCACAAACCCAAATCAAATCCGATTATGCTTCATAATGTAATGTTTGTCAAGGTCACAGAACTTTGCATGCTTTTAACAAAATGGAGTACAAAGGATAATACATAACATCACTTTTGTTTCATAAGAGATAATACAATACCATTGTGATAATGGAGAAAACATGATTTAATAGGGAAAAAGGAGGCGGAAAGTAAAGCAGCAGCAATTGGTTTATTCAACCAAAAAAATATTTGGAACGTATTTGTACAAATATGTCGCACTAGTTTGAGGAACACTCTGAATCATTCTTCATTAACTATCTCATCATGCAAGCATCAGCAAAATGTGAAGAAAAAAAAGGAACTTAAAGACAAACGAAACTTTAGTTTATCATATTTTCTTCTTTCGATTGATGCATAAAAAGGAAAATCCATACAGAATAAACTATTGGCTTGAGCAATCAGCAATTATCTGTACTTTTAAGACACCCAGAAATGCAAGAAAATTTAATGGATTGAAGCTCGGGGAATACCAAAACGCGTTGGAACTGAATTATGTCTCCAACCGACAAAATACGGGGAAGTTGATTCCTAGTTTGTGTAAAAACGTTAACTGGTAACCCAGGATCCTGATGCGTCTCGTCAATTATACGGACCGAACAAAACCAATCTGCAAAAGATTCACACAAACGCGTACATAACAAACAGAGAGAATTACAATTTCTATCTAAAAGCAGAAGAAAAGAAATTAACACAAAGAAACAGAAATGTTAAAACTGACTAAGAGAAATGAAAGAAAGTAAGAAGTGGCTCAGCAACAACACCTTTACGTCAAGAGTCTCATCAATCTACTACCGACCAAGCGGAAGCAGCCGTAAGTTCGGCCTTTGTTTCATCATCGCCACCACAAACATACGTATACAGAAATAAATAATTGCAAAAAATAAAAATAAAAAGCAAAAGTTTTGTGGACTAGGTTTGAAGGAAGTGAGGAGGAAATGGCACAATTTATATACATACACATTTAATTAAAAGAAGAAGATTTACCAGTGCCCTTGGTTTTCCTAGGGAAACCACACTCGAGGACGACGCCGATTAAGTTCACTTTCTCACCCACAGAATCTATGGCGTCCCTTATCTTCAAGAAGTTATACAAGTCACCACGCGGCATCTTGTGAGTATTTGTTAAGCTTTACAGAGAGCTCAGCTTCTTCTAGGGTTCTTTCTTTGCAGAATGGAGGGAAAGAAGGTATAATATAAACTTTGGGAGGGAACCACACGTGTGAATCCATTTTTCTTCAATTTTCTTTCTAGTTTTTTGGGAAACCATACAAGTGAGAAGAGAAATGATGCATAACTCTGACACGAACACATCAAATCCGTCCAAACCGACGGATCCAATCCAATCCGTCCAATTGAGCCTCTCACGAAATGTAGAAAGTCAAAAACACCCTTATTAGTACTTTTGCAACCCTAGTAGGGTGAAAAAGACATTACATATTTCCCACTAGTTGTGAATTGACCCCAAGGTCAGTTGTCTGTTAGCGAAATATTTACCAACTGACCGCAAGCTCAGTTGCCTTTGTGCGAATTGCGAAATTGAGAAAACTTCCATCGTTACCGAGTAGAAGCTCTTACATTCTTATCAATAACAATGTACATATGTGTAGAAGTTTTTTATGTGTGTTTTTGATGAATTATTTTTACATATGTGTCAAACTGTGATTCGTACAAAAGAGTATGCAAGTAGTATCCTTGCGAAAGGGTTAATCGTTTTATTAGTCCCTGAACTTGGACTCGATTTACATTTGAGTCCCTCAATTTTCAAAATCGTTCTTGTAGTCCTTTAACTTCACTTTCGTCAGGACAAACGGTCCTTCCGTCACTGTTAAATGCATGGGCAAAATGATATTTTTATATTAAAACCAAACAAATGAATAAAAAATCATATCTTTAAAATAACAATAAAGGAAAATCAAATAAAAAACCAACCAAAATAATAATAATAATAATATTAATAATAAAGTTTGTGGGAGTAGAAATCAGGATAAAGGGGAGAGAGAGTTTAATTTTAATTTTGTATTCATATTTTAATCAATTTTGATACAAAAATACCATTTTGCCCATGCATTTAACAACAAAGTTAACAAAATTGTCGACAGGATCATTTGTCAACGAAACTGAAGCTGAAGGACCACGGGAACGATTTTAGAAATTGAGGGACTTAAATGCAAATCAGGTCTAAGTTCATGGACTAATAAAACGATTAACCCCCTTGCGAAATATCTATTAAACTTGCCTTCATTCTCTGTGTGCTAGAATCCTACTCTCTTTTCCTGGGCAATATACATCTTTGCCAAAGGAGAAAAAACACACAACTATAATTTAGTAGAGCAAAAGACCAATAAACACTTAGAATTCTAAATTAGAGCTCAAAACTTTCCATAGAAACCATAAATTCATTGGTTACACACGGTTCCTGCTAATGTAAGAAGAGTTTAGAACACCTTTCCTTAGACATGCAAAATATTATGAAGGCCCAAATGTAGCTTGTAGAAGCCTCCAGTATCTCTGTGAATGCACGAAACCGCAAACATCTCATGATTTCACCCAAGATGTGCTCTCCTATGTAATCACCAGCCTGATAGAATTACAAGTGCCCAAGGGTCATTATGTCCTGCACTGCACCAACCTCAGAAAATTTCCATAGAAAACAATGTCTTTGTGCTTATTAAGAATATACTAGCGTGGGTGCCTCCACATCTGCTCCTCGTACTCACTAGTAGTTGCTTCCTTGGGGCATTTACAGTTGCACTTCAGGCAGACTGTGTTTCTACCATAATTCAAGAAATTACATCTGCAGTATACATTACCATTTTGTAAATAGTTCAGTTAACCTTAATATTAAATCTAAACCACACACACACACAAACAAATAAAGAGGAAGATGGAGTTACGAGGGACAGTCCCAATCTGCATGATTTATCTTGGGCCGTGTCTCTTGACAACGCAAACACTTCCTATTGCTTGCAAAATTCATGAAAGCACACCTGAAGAACACAAGCCAGGTGATCAGAATATAACTAAAATTACAAGTGCAAACTGATTTATAGTTTTATGTTGGATCTGTTTATAAGATTTCAATATGGGGCCCGGATATAGTGTTTAGTAGGAAGAGCATTTGGTGTTGATTACAGGGAAATACACTCCCATTCATTTGCTGACTTTTTCTTCTGTTAGTATTTTTATTTAGTCCCTTGTCTATTGGTTGCATTCCCCTTGGATGCAATTCAATAAACTTTCTTACTTACTTAAAAGTAAAGTTACTGATAACAATGACATTAAATTTCATATATTAACAATATACAGAAAAAATGTTATTCTCAAGAGCAGCAATAATCATTCAAATTTCACAATATTGAATTAGCACACTCAGTTTACTAATTTAGATTTGCTGAATTATGTCATTTGTCAGGGCGAAAATAAGACTTACTTTGGGCAGTTCCAGTCTCCTTGCTTCATTTCAACAGCATCTGTACTGACTCTCTTTGGCCCTTCAGCTTTGCACTTTAGGCAGCGTATATTTCTAGAGAAGTTCATGAAATTGCATCTGCAACAATATGTGGAACTTGGAACACAAGAATCTGGTGGTAGCCTAGACTAGAACAAGATGTGTGTAACTTCAAATCATCATACAAACATCATTTTCCAAATCTATCCATGTATCACCAATTTATCAGACAATTGTTTTGTGCTATATTATTGCTCCCTCTCCATGCACTCAAAACCTCTAACCCAAAACATATATATGATAACATCGAAATAAGTAAGTCACATTGAAAGACTTGAAAGCCCTTGGGCTTGTATCTATAGTGTAGGAAGATCACATAGAGAAAATCAGGTTTGAACTGATTAAAAAAAGATGGTGAAAAATTTGATGGCAACCTTATACGTATATGTACCATGAAGAAATTCAATAACTTTAAACATTTGAAAGGTCCAAAGTTTTTCTTGCTAATTCTAACATTCAAAGCATTGGAAAAAACTAAACAACTTCTTTGATAATTGGAACTTAGAAACACTAACAAGTATCATTACATTATTATTTTTACTAAAAGGGATTGCAAATTATTTCAGAAATATTCTCTCAAATACCGATTCATGGTAGCACTCATGCAAAAGAAGTGGCTTACTCAGTGCAGATCCAGTCTCCCTTTTTCATTTCAAGATCACCCGCATCAGCTTTTTTTGGGCCATCTTCTTTACATTGTAGGCATCTTAGATTTTTAGCAAAGTTCATAAAATTGCATCTGCAACAAGATAGAAAGAACAACAGTTCATAAACTAGTGCAACTGAGCAATTTCAATTGCAGGGAATGTGTTACAAGTACAATGAGAGGGAACGACATGCAATGTTGGATTCAGACATCTCAAATATAAGGGACTGATAATTGAGCAATCACAGCAAAGTAGTTATACAGTAAAATGTCCAGGAGCATGATACCTCAATTTTGTAGGACTGGACAGCGGGTAGACACACAAAAACAAGCAAACTTAAAAAATAAATATGAGGTAAAACCAATAGATGCATTTTCTGGATTAGACAAAATTAAAAGTTTCCACGTGAATAACTGAAATGGATGTTTTGAATCTATAGAAATTCTTCCAAAGAATCAGTAAATCATCAAACTAGTATAGTAGCAATTGCCATAAGTGAAAAGAAAAGTAAATGATTGACTCGAAAATTCAACAAATACTTTCAGTGATTAACGGATATGACTAGATGTCAATTCAGGTAGTGTTACAACAGTAAAACCACACACACACATTCACACATAATTATGTGTCATATTTACCATAAAAACAAAAACGCCATAAGTTGAGGAGATCACCTCCTCCAATCAAGTCATAAAGTAATGCATATATTAAATTAAAACGGCATAAAGATGACCACGGTAACTTGGTGTGGCTTACTTGGGACACATCCAATCTCCTCTCTTCATTTCAACAGTTTGAGATAGTCCATCATCAATGATACTTGCAGATAACTTTTTCCCAGCTTTGGCAGCAGGCTTTGGAAGTGATGGGTCAACAGCTGTTTCACTGAGTTGAAGCAACTCAGAAAGCAGTTTCCTTGCAGATGTTTCTAGAAGGTCTCTACCGAGAGGTTTATTCCCCCCAGAAATAACAAGTGGATCCAGAGCATGAAACAATAGTATTCGGACAATATCCACTGTCCGTGCCGCAGCTTCAGATTCCTTAAGAACCACATACGCTCTATCACAGGAACCTCGCAGATTGCAAGCACCACAAACCTGTATATGCCAGCACCATCCAGATCACAATCTAAAATTCTCAAGATTTATATAATAAAATTCCCCATCAAGCATTGAAAAGAAAAATGAAAACTAGATGATGAAGCAGAATAGGACATATATACATATTCTATCGTCGTGTTGTAAAAGAGTTTTTATGTGTTTGTGTGCACTTTCATCAACAAATGTGACTCATCAATCCGATAAATGAGGGAGATTACATACATCCCCTTCATCTAGTCTCAGATAGAATCTCAGCCTTTTTGCTGAATTCACAGCTTTCCGGAAAAGATTGGGACATCCACCCTCCACAACTGCTTGCATATCTTCCGTAGACAGTGATCTGCACCAAAAAATCAAAATGAAAAAGATTAGATGCTGTTATGCAAGAAATGCAGTCAAATGCTTAGGTAAATAGTTTGGAATTTTCAATAATAAATGTATAGAATTCAATCAAACAATGAATTCTTTTTATCAGATATTGTTCCTATTGCTGTAAAGGAGATTTGTGCAGTCCATTACAGGTAAGGAAAAGAAAGCTTGAATGATAGCACAAAAGTAAATGAAACATCAATAAAGCTCAAGAGTAGCAATAACTCAATTAATCCTCAGCCAACACTTTGTATTTCAACATTTTCTCGGCAACCAGAGCAAATAAAAGAACCTCACTTGAAAACATCGTAGCGGTCACGAGCAAAGCTGAGGCACGCATCCTTTATTTGAGTCATGTCCGTGTAAACATCGTCACTCTCGCTCGGCTGGGTTCCGGTGAAGTAACCTTTGGTCTTCAAGCGGTCGATGAAAGCCACCCACTCGGGCCAGGGATGGAGCAGCGGCGCTTCTGTGCTGTTAGCGGTGACGCTATCAATAGTTTCAATTGCAGCGGAGGAAGAGCTGTACCTGGGGAAGCGCAGAGATTGTGAGGCAGCAAAGGGTTTGAGAGAATGAAGTGAAGGGGTCGCCGATAGAGTTCTTATGGGCGCGTGGAACAGTGCTGCGGTTCCAAAGCGTATGAGCTTTGAAGCAGCTGACATTTCCCTTCCTTTTCTTTTTTGTTCGGATTGTGTTTTGTGGGTGAAATGGTGTGCCGGTGGAGCTCAGAGTTTGTGGGTAACGAGCATGGAAGAAGATGGCGGTAACTGGTATGAGAGGAAGAAGGAGAGGGTTTTGTAAAGTGAGGAACTTTGGGACGCTGGGTTTTAGAGAGATAAAAATTGAAGAGATAGGTTGGGAATAGATTTTTTTTTTTTTTTCTTTTGGCCCCGAATGAAGAAGCTTTATTTATTTATTGACAAAGTAAAAGAAAATACATAAATATAAGAAGAAAATACATAAATATAAGAAGAAAATTAATATATTGGTATATACAAAAAATCAATAAAATAATATTTACCCCCAAAATTAACAATAAATTTAGGATGGTAGATCCAAACACCCGCGGGTGATGCGAACGTAGCCAAAACCCCACACAGTTGGATCACAAAACTAACATAAACCCTTCTCCCCTTCTCCCCTTCTCCAGAAGAGTCTACCAAAGCAAATCACTCAGTTTTCTGCTTCTGCTTCTAGTCGCTCCACCATGAGAAGGGCTTCAACTCTCGCCTCATTCAACGTCATCTCCCGATCCCTCGCCACCGTTCACGGCGGCGCCGCTGCCACGTCAGCCTCCCCCAGCCACGGTCTTCTCCAGGTGGCTCTCTACGGTACCTCCAGCACCACCGGTTCTCATGCTCGTCGTCGGTGGTTCGATTCATTTTCCGGCGGTCCAGCTGGCAAGCTGGCTATTTGCGTAGCCGGAACTCTGGCTTCGGTCGCTGTTGCCTCGTCACTCACTCAGGAGGTCTATGCCAAAGAGCCGCCTCCGGCTGAGCTTGTTCCAAAGGACGTCGTGCTATACCAGTATGAAGCCTGCCCTTTCTGCAACAAAGTTAAAGGTGAAAAATGTTCTCTTTCTCTCATGTTTCTTTACTTCTCTTTGCTTGTTGAATTGCTTTTGAGGTTCGGTGTTTTTGCTGCCTTTGAATATTTCGCGCAAATGTTTAAATTTTTCACCGAAAATCAGAAATTGGACGAGATTTCATGTCGAAATATTGGATTTTAGTGTGGATGAAACATTCATTTGAATAATATCCAGTTGGTTCAGCATTTCTCTGCAGTCTCGCAGCCTATCATGGTTAAATGACAGGAAAAGAACGAACTTTTACTTGTAGTTCGCATTCTATTTGGAATTCTCTGGTAAGATTTGAACGTAATTTTGAACAAATAGTGCACTGGGGTTGCTGGTAGCATGAGAGGAAATAGCCATATAAACAGTCAATAAATTTGCAACCTTGTCAATCATTTGGTGTTTTGGTGTTTTGTTGTTCTTTCGGTTATTCTCGAGCACATTCATTTTTTTTTCCTATTATGTCCTTTTTCTTTTGTTACGGTTCTATTAAACAACGGTAATTTTATGTTCTTTTCCATTTATCATTCTGTTTACAAATTGGCGACACTTTATTGTTGTCTCAGCATTCTTGGACTACCACGATATCCCCTACAAAATTGTGGAAGTCAACCCACTTAGTAAGAAAGAGATCAAATGGTCTGATTATAAGAAGGTTCCTATATTGGTGGTGGATGGGGAACAGCTGGTTGACTCATCAGGTATCTGTCCTTGTGGTTGTTCTTAGATTGCTGAGTTTTCTGGTTGGATTTCTAATTACAATATTATGGTGTATGCATTGTTGAACATATATAGGTACTAGAATTACGTATCTCAATTGAAATTGAGCATGTATCTGTTTGCAGCTATAATTGATAAGTTGAATGACAAAATTGTTCCTGAGAGAGTAGCCGCCCCTTCCTCAAATGATGATGAAGAGAAAAAGTGGCGCCAGTATGTTATCTTTTCCTCCATAGCTTATTATGTTTATATTCATATTGGATAAAAGCGGAGAAACAGTATACTTATACTTTGAGTAGTTTTAGGGAAGGTCGCAGGTTTAAACTCCACTGGACCATGATCTTAATGATACTATTATCTAAGAAACAAAGAAGAAAGAGAATGCTGCAAGAAATTCTCACCGAGTTTACAAGAATAAAAGAAACTATGCTTTGAATTAGACTCGCCTCCTGTCCTTTGAATTAGTAATTTTACAGCCCAACTTCCTGGAACTTTAGAAAATTCTGCTTGTTCTGACAGTTTATAAAATGGGAAATGAGCTCAGATACTGTCTGAAAATGGTTATAATCATTATACCTTGATTCAGATATAACACTTGGAGAATCCTCTGTAGAGTTACATGAGTTTTGGTTGAGAGAATTACGATTTCATTTTGTGTGAATTGGTGAAGGAAGTGCAAAACACTCACTTTTTTTTTTTGTTACAAAACACTCACATATTATTGATGTAATGGTTAACGAGTAGTTGCATATTACTCTTATCAGTGGACCTTCAGCTTTGAAGATTAAAGAAATATAACTTCAATTAGTGGATATTGGCAAGACATACAACACTATCTCAATTGCATATTGTCATTGTGTTTTCTGAATTGATGGTCAAAACGTTTTAAAATAATTAGTGCTCTTCTGTGGCTCTGCGTTGTCTTCTTACTGTCTATTGTTGTGGCATACCTTGAGCTTTTACTTAATGGTATCTTTGTATCACTAACTTTTACAGTCATGATCATGTATTACTTGGTTACAGGTTTATTACTATAATTTTTTATTCCTTCGTTGTTCTTGTTATTGTGGTATAGGTGGGTTGATAATCACTTAGTGCATATGTTATCACCAAACATATACCGAAATACATCTGAGGCCCTTGAATCCTTTGACTATATAACAAGCAATGGTATGTAGATTCCATCTTATGCAGCCATATTTTTTGGGCCTACTAGGACAAACTTCCTTTCTTCCTTCAGTTTGTGTTAGTAATATTTACTCTCTTCAGTTTTATGTAGAACTGCTTGACCATTAGATTTTGGTATTTTTGTTTTCTGATGTAGTTTTGCTGTAACTGCAGGTAATTTTAGCTACACAGAAAAATTTACAGTGAAGTATGCTGGTGCTGCGGCTATGTACTTTGTGTCAAAGAAACTAAAGAAGAAATATAATATTACGGATGAACGTGCATCCCTGTATGAAGCAGCAGAAACATGGGTTAATGCTCTTAATGGGCGGGACTTTCTTGGTATGTGCTCTAACTTGTGTCATATGCACATGATGTCACATAGATATGGCATGCAGTTTACTTTTTAGTTAATTGGTGATCAAGGGATGCATGCATTAAGGGACACAAGCAGAAAAACGTATTGATGAATATGCTTAGAAAATAAAATAAACTACTCTTGACTGGGAGATGATACTTGAATCAGGAGAAAGTTACTTGTCTGGAAAAAAAGCAAGTTGTAGTCTTCTAAAATTCGAAATAACTATTGTATGATGAGAACACCATCATTAGTATGAATTGTCTCAAGCAAATTTGTAGCTTAAGGTGTGAGGTCTGTTTGATGGCTAACTGGAGTTTTAGCATGAGCCATCAACTTTTTGCCTTGAGGTGAGCCTTAATAAGAACTAGGACTTCTGTTATGTCATCCTTGTTTTTATCTTTGTCCTGGGAACAATGTTCACATGTATACGTTGCTTGTGTCAGGGGGCTCCAAACCTAATATGGCCGACCTTGCTGTTTTTGGGGTACTAAGGCCAATTCGTTATTTGAGATCTGGTAAAGATATGGTGGAGCACACACGCATAGGCGAATGGTACTCAAGAATGGAGCGTGCCGTGGGAGAGTCTGCAAGGATTAAAGCCTAAATTGGATATCCTATGGAGTTTGTAGCTGGATTATATACTTCAATTTTGAGTTTGCCCTTTCTGTAAGCAAACTACATCAAATACGAAGAAGAAAGATTTTTCAGGAGACACTGGCAGTTATAAATGAATTGAAAACAGGCAACCTTTTGCTATTATTTGGTTATCTGGAAAACTGAAATTGTTTATTGTTACATTAGATACGATTGTTTAGAAGTACAAGGAATAAGGTAATCACAGTGTGGAATTTTTAACAAGGGGTGTGTCCCTTGTGGTGACTTTTGTCTTTTTTCAATCAATACTAATGTCTACTCATTTTAGATTGAATTTTTTTGTAGAACAAGCTTAGGTTAATGGTATGGGATTTGGCGTTGGAGCTGTTTGCACCGAAAACAAGCCCCTTGTGGGCGCTATGGCGACATCTCCCACAAAATTTTGCGGCTTTTCCCGATTACAATCAATTCTTTATGCTCTACTCATCTCTTTCGAAAGAAGTATAAATGGCAGCTCTAATGAAGTTATATGTGATTTCTTTTTCTTTGTTTCTCCGAATTATAATTTGTAAGCTACTTTTATTAATAAAAGGGAAACATAGGTGATAAGGATTTTACAAAATTAGTTTTTTTTTAAATAAAATACCATAAGGTGTCCATACCCCCGAAGGGTGGGATTAATCCCCGCTCGGTGTTTGGCTTGCCTCTGGTCACAAAGTACTTTCAACAAGTTTCAAACTCCTGCTATTGAGGCACCATGTAACTCACTAGTTACAGACCCCTGCCATTAGTTTTAGTCTATGAAGTAAAGACAGATATTATCATGGTGTTGAATGATAGCTTCGCTTCTTTGTCTTCAGGTGCACTGCAACTGGTCATTCCGGAAGCAGAAAGGACCAAAGGACCGCATTAAAATTATATTAAACTTAAGGGCGAAAAATAGAAATAAAAAAACGAAATACAATCTTGAAAAGAGAAACTTGGAGGACCTACGACCAAAAAAAAACAAAAAAAGAGAAACTTGAAGGGCCTACCCGATATTTAACTTTATGAATACAAATTACAATACAGTAATAACCTCAAGAACCGTCTCCGCCTAGGTTACGCTGCGCTGGTCACTGCGTTATCCTCTTCTCCCTCTCCCTCTCTCTCTCTCAAGTTTCAATATAAAAACCTGGACTTTAATAGTTTCGCAACTCCGGAGGGTTTGAGAAATATCTTAGACAAACATGGCGTCTCAATCCGCCAATCTGTGGGTTCTACTGGGTTTGGGTTTGGCAGGAATTCTGTTTATGACAAGGAAGCTTAAGAAGACCATCAGAGAAGACTTTGGTGCCTTTATTGAGAGGCTTCAGCTTCTCCCTCCTCCTCAGCCTGCTCCTCCTAAAGCTCCGCATCCCCTCACCGGCCTCACCTTCGCCGTTTCTGACGTGTACGCTCTCTACCACTTCCTCTGTTATTCTTCTGTTTGTCTCCTGATAAAGTTAAAAGCCAATAAAAGGATATTATAGGATTGAAGAGTAAAAACAAAAACACGGAACTTTTGAAAATATGGTTTTTGCTTTTGCTAAGCTTTATGCTGGTTGAAGTAATGAATTGGAAGTTGAGGTTACTATTATTAAATAGCCAAACGAATTAGTTGAATTGGGTTGGAACCCAGATGGTGAAAAAGCCTGAAATTTATGTCTTATCCTTTTATTTTCTGTATGTTGTTTTTCAACGTAGGATGCACTAATAAGATGGGCAGACTGATTTTGGTTATTCAAAACTAACGTATTGAACTTGAGTTATGTTATAGGTTTAGTTTCATTGCACTTTATTATTTTGATTTCCTTATCAAATGCAAGTAATTTGTATCATTGTGTTATAGAACTATTTGTTTGCCTTAAAGTGGATAAATTTGTATCATGGTTGGCAGATTTGATATTGAGGGACATGTAACTGGTTTTGGTCATCCTGATTGGGAAAGAACACATGATGCAGCTTCTCGGACGGCTCCTGTGGTTTCGGTTCTTGTCGAAGGAGGTGCCACATGCATTGGGAAAACCGTTGTGGATGAATTGGCATATAGGTATGTATTGCTATGAGCACACACTTTGGATGTTCTGTCAACAGGCTGAAGGTGTTATTCCTCATTGCTGTTGTGAATGGGGAAAAAAATAATTTGATCTGAGGACCCATTTTCCTTTCAGTTTATCCAACTCTAGCTTTAGTTTGGATTACATAATGTCAATTCCTTTCTGCATGTTTATTTTCAGTATTAGCGGAGAAAATAAGCATTATGGTACCCCCACCAATCCGGCAGCATCTTCAAGAACACCAGGTGGATCCTCTAGTGGAGCTGCTGTGGCTGTAGCTGCCAATCTTGTTGACTTTTCACTGGGTGAGCTTCTTGTTTTTCTCATCCTTTCTGAAATTGTTCTTTATCTTCTTTACATTTCCCATTGCGTTTTGTTATTAGTCATTGACCATGGAAAATCATTGAAAGCACATATGAAGGGCTTGAGGGGGTTATTTTATTTGTTTAATTGGCATTAAAGGCAATTGAGTTGGTTTTTTATTGGATTTGGCTTCATTTTCCTATCTTATCTGAAATTCTCTTATTTTGAGGCATGTTCATAATATTATCATACCTTAAAATGCTCATTTTTCAACAGGGCAGCGTATTTTACTTTTTTGTTTTTGAAATTTGTTATTTTCAAGATATATACTTATGTATCTATGTCGAAGCAAATATATGCTTGAAAAGAAGAATCGCAGATCTCAAACTAATTATGAAGGCATAAATCATCTACAAGTTTCTTTGTAGGAAGGCTGGATATGAATCATATATATCTAAATATATTAATATCGTAACGTTCACTTCATGCTAACATGATGGCGCAGGTATTGATACTGTCGGTGGCGTTAGAGTACCTGCTGGGTCTTGTGGCGTTATAGGATTCCGACCTTCACATGGGGCTGTTTCTCACAATGGGATTATACCTGTTTCTATAAGTCTTGATACCGTTGGTATGTACGGTTACAATTTTGTAGGCTGCCATGATGCAGGAGTATTTGATCATGTGCAACTATGTATACCTGATTACTTTTTTGTTAAATAATAAATTTTCATTATAGCAAACGTTAGCAGTATGCTATCTGGCATCCCTTAATGTTTTCAACTTTTCATATTGTTTGACTTGTAAGATTATGTGTGCAGGATGGTTTGCTAAGGATTCTAGTGTCCTACGTCGTGTTGGACATGTTCTGCTGCAACTTCCTTATGCAGTTTCACGCAGTCCAAGACAAATTGTAATAGCTGATGATTGCTTTCAACAAGTAAAGATTCCTGTTGACAGAATTGTTCAAGTGGTCACCAAATCCACTGAGAAGCTTTTTGGAAGTATGCTCTTTTCCCTTGACTTCTGTTCTATGCTCCCTGTCCATGGTGGACCACTGTTTTTAAAAAAAATTCTGAATGATTTCTTCAGGACAAGTATTTAAACATGAAAATCTAGGGGACTATTTTAATTCAAAAGTCCCAAGCTTGAAAGAGTTTCATGGCCAGAAGACAAATGGTGAAGTCAAGACTTCATCCATAAAATTGCTTGCCAATGTTGTGCAGCTTCTTCAAAGGTGAGGTTACTTAGTCACCAGTCAACCTTCTGAATACTGTATATGTCATAAATCATTGAAGATTATATGTCATAAAAGAGGATAGAAAAAACAAACAAAAAACCATATATCTCCCTCGACCCCCCATGCTTGTATAGTTTTCTGGAAACCATGACACTGAAGGTTTCTGTGCTTATATTCTTTTCCTTCTATTCTATTTATTTGTATTCTGCTCTTATGTTTGATTTGGATGGGGGAAGTTGAAAGTCTTAAAAGTGAGGGAAAGTGTTTGCAAGATGATAAAAATTTAAAAGTAGTAATTTCCAACCAGAGAACAGTACTTGGCTAAATATTCAGGAAATGTCCAGAAAATTGGATGGAACATTAGGTATTTTATGTAGTGAGTTCATCACAAATCCTTCAGATAAAAAATTATTATCCTCGTCCATCTAGTTATGACAATCTATAACGAACACCTTTTGCTTCTGGTCTCAATTTCTTGTATGGTGCATTCTTATAGGTCCATATGAGAAAACAGTTTTCCACTTTGTTCATTCATTTATCCTTTTGTTTTGATATTTCCTGATAATATGTTGATTGAGATTTCTTGTGGTTCCTTTTAACAGACATGAGTTCAGACATAATCACGAGGAATGGATTAATTTGGTGAAGCCTGTATTGGATTCTGCTACTTCAGCACAAATATGTGGACCACTGGACACATCAGATGAGGAGATTGAGATCTGCAAGTCAATTAAGAATGAATTGCATGCAGCTGTCAACTCTCTATTGAAGGTAATGATTGAGATCCGCAAGTCAATTAAGAATGTGTTTATCGAAGTTTGCTATATTGAATTATACTTTTGTGTTTAATTTACTTGTGTAGGATGATGGAATTTTGGTGATCCCCACTATAGCAGATCCCCCTTCAAAACTTGGTGGGAAGGACATACTCTCTGAGGACTTCCGGAGCCGTGCTTTTGGTCTATTAAGTATTGCTAGCCTGTCAGGTTGTTGTCAGGTGGAAATCTCTCTCTCTCTCTCTCTCTCTCTCTCTCTCTCTCTCTCTCTCATTTATAAAAGGTAAAGAGATGTTATGGTTTACTACACTTATTTTCTGTGTCTTGGGTCTTTAAAATTGGGAGGATCTTTACTCGGCTGTTATTTTCCTATCAATCTATGCTTTCGTTACATAGTGATAAGTTCGTACTGACTATAGTTTCTCCTAATTAATTAAGTATACTCCGTTGATGTTCTACTCTTCAGGTCACAGTACCGCTGGGATCGCATGACAAGTATCCAGTTTCAGTTTCATTCATAGCCAGGCATGGGGGTGATCGCTTTTTACTAGATGCTGTGCACACTATGTATGCATCTTTACAAGAGCAGGCTGATATTGCTTCCAAATCCAAATTATCCAAAAATGCTCTCACCAGGGAGCAATCTGCTGAAATTGCCAAGGAAAAGGTAGAGCATCTCATGATGTTGTCCATTTGCTTTATAAGTTGTTGCTTTTTTTTTCGATTTTCTTTGTAACATGACAGCATCGGGATGTTAAATTTCTATTGGACAATTATTTGGTAAACTAGTTTGTATGTGTCACTTGGATTTTTCATAATATATTTAAGTTGTAGTCCGTTGACTTAGTTTCTCATATAT